ATTTAACTTGAAATGCGGTTGCTATGTTTGTATAAGCCTATGGAATTGTACTTGAAAAACTGTACTTAATTCTGAACATTGTCGCTAAATTATAATGTACTGCTGCCGTTCATCGTGCGGTATTGTACATACAGCGTACGCTACTGCATTTACCAAATCCGATTAGATTCCGCTGAATAATAGAAAATGTTAATGCCCAGCGCCGGCTCTTCTCCGTTCTTATTTGGAGCTTAAGAGTCATGTTGAGTCTCTGTGCATGCAGGACACATAACACCGTGCCATCCTCGTCTTCGTGCGATCTAGGGAACAGGCGAGTGATCGGCGGTGCATCTTGGGTATAAGCAGCCGCTACGCCAACGCATTTAACCCCGGGCAGTTTTCTTCTTGTAGGCTGCTTGCATGCAGCGCTCGCAAGTCCTTAAACCTCTTACACTCGCCCACGCGTGCCAAGATTCTGCAATTCAAGGTAGAGAGTTCTCCGGCCAAGGGGAGGGACAGCGAAAGAGGGAAAAAAAATCCTTGAATCAGAAATAAGCAAGGAGAAAAAAATCATCCTGCGTAGCATGATTGGTTTAATTCCTAAGTGGGGATATTTCTGTCCTGAAAAGGTGCGGTTTCGAATAAATTGCGGCATAGGCTTCCACGGCTGCATAATGCTGGCGGTTTTCATTCACCTACATGTACTTTCATATGCCGCTATTTAAGCAGCAGATTTAATACAGAATTGACAGATTTTGACTATTTTTTACCCATAGCGTCAACAGCACTAACATGATGACAGTGAAAGATATAAAACCATCCAAACACAGTATTATTGATGGCTATCAATTAAACTGTTCATAAAATAAAATGAAGTAGAAACTGTATATAAACGACGTAATAAGATGTGAAGTACCTACCATTCATAGTTTCACGAACAATATTCTCACAGAGTAGCGTAGTTTTGCTTGCGCACCAATACAGCAAACGAAATTGGATCACAATGCAATGTGTTGAAAAATCGTCAAAATCTGTGGCTTATATCAATACGATAGGTGGCTGTTTCAATTCTTGAATATAATTGAAATTCTTTGAGTCCGTAGACTCTCCAAAACAGAATAGTCACAATGTTTTCCTCAGGTGGTCTTATAAAATGGAAACCACTTTTTATTTCTAAATAATTTTGTTCATGCGATAGATTTGAATTAGACACTTATAGGCAAGTACTGATTATATGTCCCGTTTTATGTTTCAAACTTGTCAGATAAATTCTCAACAATTGAGGAGGGTTTACTCTTTTTCATGTCAGCAAAAGGGAGGTGTCCGCATTATCGGTCTTTTTTATCACCAGACAATTTTACTTGGTGGCGCTATTTCAAGTGCGAAGTGATCTCTGGCACAAATTAATGCCACCTGCCTTGGTGGAAAAGCTGTCTGACTGAGGGCGCTGTTCAGGTCTTAATTTTCGCACAAAATGTGTGTGTGTGTTCTCAGGTACTACATAATTTAATCGACCAGCATTATAGGTTTGCATGGCAATTTGGAACATAATAAAGCATAACGTGTCTGCTGCCGCCAAGTGACTTCACCATGATGAACATAATCATGTGCTAGTTTGATCACGTGACCTGTACACTCTTCCACGTTTGCTTAACAAATCTTAATAATACGAAGAAACAAAGCTAGGGAGCTACAAGACATCGTTACTGTACCATTTCGATTCATAAAGATCGAAGACCTTTTGCATCATGATAATGACTCCATAACAGTGCAAGGGACAGTGGCAGGTTGTGGCATGCACTTTCAACGATCATAATGACGGGAAATCGAATTTGTAAGCCAAGTTGAGCGAATCGAATCGATTCGGGAAAAATCCACCTGCAGGCCTGGCTTGCAGATTGACAATTTCCAATTATTTTTTTTTTTGTTCTTTTCATTTTATATTGTATTATCACATTTTTGCCTGTTATGACAGATATGAGATAGGCTCCGTGTTTCTGACAGACAGAGAAGCCTGTTTGTTAAGTTGCACATGCCGATAGACACATTTTGTTGTTTGCTTATTTTCGGAGTTTTGTTTTACTTTGGTTTTGTTTGTTTGTTTCGTTTTGTTTTTGTAATTCGGTAAGGTTAAATAGAGCATGGGACTTATTGTGAACGTCTGTAGTCAGCCGTTTTCCTTTTTCGTAAAGAATGATGGAAAAAGCCCTGGAATTTCACAATGTAATGCCAGATAGCTAAAGGGTTTAAATTAAGTTGAACTTTGATTACTACAAATTAAGCCAAACATGTACAAACAACACGATCGGGTCTCGACATACACACATAAATAACCAGTCAAGCCGACCAAACGAAGCACGGGGGAAATTTTCGGTGCGGAGCCGGCGGGGTTGAAATGCCGCACTATACGGTATACCCATCAGGGCCCGGTGGAGGATTTTACGGAGGACCGCTCCCGCAGCGATGATTCAATCATAGTCCGGTACCAGGAGGCAGGTGCCGTCCCCCCGTCTATCGAATTAAACCCCTGGCGGTGCCTTGCCTGCCGTATTACGCTCCGCAGAGCTTACTGCCGATCCTCTCATCGATTTTTTAGGGCTTGTGTTTTTGTTGTTCAGGGTCTCGTTGCCTGAGGATTGATGCTGGCGTTTTGATGTCTTGGCTTCTGCCATCTCACGATTTATTTATCTTCTCTCCGTCGGTATTTATAGCATTGACATTAGCGAAAAGATAGGATTTGTACGATGTACATTTTGAAGATGTAACTCAAAATCACAACTGGACCGTGCTACCTCATCTTTTCCATCCACCACATAAATTTGTCCTTGTTTGTCAAACCTAATATGTGAGGTGTGAGGATAAGTGTGAGGATAAGACTACAATGTTAAACTTCCGACAAACTGTATACCTTCTGACTTAACGACACTCAGAACTAACGACACTTTGTGTTCACAAAGAATGTTGTGCATTAATGTATTGAACATGTACACTGCACTTTTGGAGCTCCCAGGTTACATACGACCATTGTTTCAAGTAGAATAACCACACGATAAGCATACACCATGGTAAGAATTAAATTTCAAAGAGTCTTTCAAAAACAACTTGGGTTAAAGTGTAAAGAAAAGGAACTAGAGCACGCATCCCCTCCTGATCAACTCGCTCCTTAATATCATCAAGAATAAACACGAACCTTTCTGATAAATAAGACGCACAGGGATCATGTCGATCGCGATAGCGCCCTCTGCCTTCCCCGAGTGACTGCGCCAGATGACGAATTGGCTCCGATTGACAATCGTCAAAAGCGCCACCAATGCAACCTCATTGTAAAATTAATGTGCCTACCCTACCATGAGGGCGCTCTTATCAAAACACACAAGCTGGCGACTGGTGGAAGGCCAAACAAGATTTGTACGGTAGCCTATCAATACATTAATGTCATATTTTCGGATATGTAAAAGCTCTTATTGTTTTTTATTTGCATGATTTAGAGTTCAGGAAATTCGTTAAAAATCAATTAGTTTTGATAATTTAATGACAGGACATATGCATGTGCAATTTGACAAGTATGTACACGACCTCACCAACAATATTCTTTTGTTTGTATTGTTCGATTACACTTTTTGATAAGAGAAAAAACTCACCCAGATAAACTTGACTCCGATGCAGTAAATGCTAACGGACGGTTGTCTCGACAACTAATATGACTGCACAAGATGTCGGCATTTACACTGTATGGACGCTATGGTTCTTTCCCGTGAAGGTATCCATGCAAAGTCCAATGGAAATGTGTCACTCTGTTCGCAAATTTGACGACAAAATCACTTCCTTTGATTCCCATTTCAGTCGAGATGTTCAGTTCCGTATTTCTCGAATTAATCGTCTCTTTATCATATAAGTAGTTTGAGAAAAACAGTTCCAGCAGTCACATCATCTTATAGATCGCATGGATATGCACACTGGTTACAAGATCTCTGAATTAGCCCAATGCAACACAAGCCAACCAGTTCACCAACAGATAACAGAAAAAATTGCTTGTGTATTCTTAGGAAGCACGTTGTGGATGTAACGCCAAGCGCTATCACAGCGACATGCATGTGACTAGACTTACACGTTCACCAAATCCATACCATACTCTTTGCAAATGATGACACGAGACAATAGTCTAGACAAGTACATAATAGACTTTTGGGGTCTGGCAGACTCTTTTTGTTCACTAAATCGACTATTTTTGGCTCAGGTATGTAGGGGCGGGACCTTGCTCCTCGCCATTGTTTTTAACGGCGAAAGTAATATTTAGAATATGCGCCAATTTCTTTGTTAGAGGTTCCGGGAGTGATGGAATTTGTGGCGAGGAAATACGTTGAATTCCTGGCATCGAAAAAATTCATTCGGGATTCAGGAACGAAAGAAAACCATCCACTGTTTAAAATATATAGCGCCCTCTACAGAAAGTCGGTCTAAAGTTCTGCCTACGAGGAGCCCTATGAGACAAAATGAGATTGAAATTTCGGAGTGGAAAAAAAAATGGGGGGGGGGGACTTGCAATCAAAGTAACACTTTGCCCAAGTGAAGTTCGTCAATAATTCAATATTCTTGCTCAAACGGAACGCAATCATATATGTTGTATTGCCTTGTATTGCTCAAACTGAACAAGCAAATATATTGAAAACGAATTGAACTACATTTTTGTAAATAAAAGAACGGAAGAAAATGTTGCAGTGTCTAGAGAATATTTTGTCCGTTTGTGATCCAATTTTTCTTTCACTGATTCTTCAGAAGAAGGGCATTGAACATCGATTCAAGTAGATGATGAGCTACATTAATTAAGATTGAACCTCGAGTTGAATCCATTTCGAATTCCAGGCGGTATACGTATACGAGGTCAGGCGGAATGTCGACCTCCTAGGATGCCCGATGTTTACAAACATTTCTCGATCTCCACCAGAGAATTCAAAATTTTCTTTCATTATTGCAGTCGGATATGGATCCTCTTTACGCAAGAACGATACTAGAATGTCAAGTTTGCCTTTTATTATAAAAGCTTAATTTATTGCCACCTTTAATTAAAAAGCCAAAAGAAATTAAGTCGCCTTCCGCCTTAAATATAAAAGTTGTTCAACAACATCGTCTTGACACTTTTCCAAAGCGTATGTTTAATTTTATTCAATTAAGAAATGGAATTGTTATTATGAACATGTTCTCATAAAGACAACTTTGAGACGAACAGTAATCCGGTTATAGAAGTCGACCCACAAAGTGGAAATGTCCTCCCAAAAGCCAACATGTTAATTAAATAAATACAACTTCAAAGTCTGATGGCAAAGTCTCAAATACAAACAGTTGTTGGGGGATCAGTTTATTTGGCGAACAATTTCAAGCTGTCTGGGTTTTCCATGCACTAATGGCAAGGATTTGTAAAAGAGTTTTTAGTCACCGGAATGGGATGTACGAGTACCGGCGACGCTGCGGTCAAATTACTGTCCCTGTTCGCCGGGAATGCAGGCACGATGGCCGGTGGTGGACCAGACGATGACGAGGCCGGCACTACCGGGTTCTTCTCGGTCGGTGACGTCGACAGGTAGCCTGGGAACGGGTAACCGCTGAAGTAGGGCGGTGGAGGCGGCGGGGAGATGTGAAGCTGAGACTGATTGACGTAACTGACCACTCTCTTCATCTCCTCCAAGGCGTTGGCCTGCATCAGGATGTAGTTCTTGGCAAGGAGGAGGGTGGCGATCTTAGAGAGTTTGCGGACTGAGGGGCCATGAGCGTAAGGGATGACGGAGCGGAGATCATCAAGAGCGTCATTCAAGTCATGCATACGCCGCCGTTCACGGGAGTTGATACTCAACCGGTTGTGCTTCGAGTTCTTCCCGGAGGACTTGCTGTTACTGAGTTTCCCGCTGGTTTGTTTCTTGGGTTGTTGTCTCATCGCGTGGTCCTCGTCTTCTGCGTCCGACACACGATTGGGTTCCGGGGATCCACCATCCTCGCGAATTCTCGCGTCATCTCGCGATGACAGCCGATGGTGGTGGACCTCGTCCGAGTCTGTGGAGGACGAGTTCCCGTCGGAGCAGATCTCGTGATAACCGACGAGCCCGTGCGACTGACGATCCTCCCCAGCGCCCCATCGCATGTCGTCCATCTTGACCGCCGTGTCGATCATTTTGTCCAGTGTCGAAGCCATGTTCAACTGACGTTCAGTGTCCACCATGTCCGACGCACCGGTGACCCCTGACCTCTCCTGACTCACGTACCGGCCGTAGCTATCGTCCCAAGACATGATTCTTTACGCCTATAATAATGTCACTAAAACAATCGTTTATCTAATAGAGATGAACATATCTTTCTTTCACAGTCTTTATAGTGTCGGCACAATCGTAGCCATTTGGTATAAATATTAAAGCTCAAAATGCAAAATCCGCACCGACTAAGTTGTTTAACTGTAAGCGTACTTCCCTGTGTTTGTCACAATCAATAATGTCTTACGGTATGCCGTTGTCTCATCGACGCGCTGTTCCTCTGGTTGTTTCCGTGTTTATCGCCGGATACAGACAATCGGTCCTGCTGTTTGATCTGCACAGAACCAAACTTGAATTTGCCACAATGAAGAAAGTGTAATGACTCTTTCTACAGCAGTGCCAGTCCAGCGTGTTTTCGGTAGTCCGTTGGTCGGTCTGTCCCTTCCACTCCACACTGAAGTGCTGCACTCCTTTGGTTGTTTGCTATCCTCGTGAAAAAGTCATCACACAGACCGGCGGCACGCAATGGCCAGGCACTCCAAAAACGCCGCCGATTTAAAAGGTCCAGTTTGGCCGTTTAGCATTCGACGGGGCAAAACGGGAGCAGGGCTGTGGATGTGCCGCTTTTCCTCCGCCGTCGAGCCACGGGGACAAGCTTCGTCGACGTGCCGGCACTCTAGCACGAGACCCAACGCCACTGTTGATTTTTAACCATCAAAATCTCTTCAGAGGGGCTTGAGAATCAAGACGAGACGAGAAGATACTCGTGCGCGTTCTCAGACAGCCAGACGGTGCGGCGGGTGAGTGAACGTGGGGGTTTTATACGCGCAAGCCGGTCGGTGTAGTCCCCTGAGCTTCGGTGCCGCCCTTACATTGTCCCGACCGTGCTGGCCCGAGCCCGCTCATTGATATGTCAGTTCAAATAAAGCCAGGGCCAACGGCATTACCTAATTAATTAATCAGATCACAATATGACAGCGTATCTCTGGGTCGTGTACGAAGTCGGACGACTCGCGAGACAGCTAGCGCGAGATCGCAGGGGGAAAAAGTCGGATGCCGACGGCTTTTGCATGACTGCAGGCTGAGTGATGGCAAAAAGCTAGTGTTGGATAATGTCGGCAATGACCATAAAGAGCCCATATATTTTAAAAATGTTAAGATTTTATTTTCAATATTCATTACTAGCTTTGCAAAACGGCGTGTAGCAACTACGAGTACGTCAAGGCACTCAGAAGTATTAGTTGGCCAAAGAAAGCTTTCGGGAAATGTTTGGCTGGTCAGTTGCAATTAACTGGTTTTGGGCTTTAATAAAAGGGGAACAATTCGTATATATATACTTACAAAACACTGAAAATCTCGCAAATTAATGATATCATATTGGAAGATTCAAACAGTACAATTTTTTATCATTCGACCATGCTTGTTGCGATTTGGTAAAGACAAAGTACAAGACAATAAAGAAATCTGTTACGAGACTCTAGTGTTTGGCATCAAGAAAAAAGAATGACAATGAAGTCGCAAAGCATAATTTATACACCGTTTGCAGTTCAGAAGATGACTAGTTTTCCGGCAATGTTCGAAACAGCCGTCAGATCGCAGCACCGACGGAGACGGCCCATCGTCACATCTGGTTGTCCCGACATCCCTGCACTTAAATAAATGATGGCTTTTATTCGGCAGCCGCGACTCCTTCCAGTTATGCCAAGTTTTTTTTTTACCGTGTCTGTGTCTCACTGACATTATCACAGTGTGCCCACCCCCTCTTGGTATTCGACCGTTCTCCCCTATACGCGTCAATTACAGTCGATTTACAAAAGAAGTAACACTTCGGTAATGGGAGACTGTTCGCCTTGAAATATGAATGAGGATGCATGGCTTATAGACCAGACAAGCGCCTGAAATATGCACAAGATGCCGAATATCAACTATGCATCTAAGCCGGTGTTCTTACGAAGGGGCGTGTCTCTCCATCATGAAGGGGAGGAGGGAACCCCCGTTCTTCTCTTTGGCAGTTTTCATTATCTTTTTTTTAAGATAAAGAATTAAATTGAAACAAATAACACCGTAAGCATCCTTTCAGCTGGAAGCTACTGCGGGCTACTGCGATGAGTTTAATGATGTTTAACGTTTCCCAATTTTAAACACCATACTCTCTATAGTTAAAGCCAATTTTATCTCTGATACACGTAATTTAACATTTATTTATTTCATTTTACGCCAGATGTTTGTACAATATTGCTCTCCTATCATTGCTTTTCAGTGTCATTGCTAATGCTAATATCCTTTTTTTCTCTCTTTTTTTCTTCTTTTGAAGTATGTGCAACATTTATGATGTTTCTATCTTAATTTGACCATTATGCCTTTGGCTGCTATGGTCGAATGGTAAATTCAAATATTGTACCAACGCATCCTTTCAGCTAACTAACCTCAAGGACGGATTGTGTAAACCATGTCACATTTGTTTACAAATTGGACGTTGTGTTCATGTAATACCAACATTCAGCAAATGGTTCTCTTCTGCACTGCATGTGTATCTCGTAAGATATGATTGGTGTAAACATGGTGACATTAATTGTTTTTGATGTCGGAAAAAAAAACACGCAAAAGACGCTTGGTTGGCCATCAATTGCCGATTGGTATGACGTCACAAGGCACGTGGTCTACACGCATGAATAGTATGTGCTCTTAACAAAATGCAAAGCGTTACTTTGGTCAAAAGCCATAATCAAAAGGCGCTGATTTGGAATTTTTGAGAAGAGAAGAAATTACAGCTTTAGAGGCGGGAGGAAAACTCCAGAAGAATATTATGGGTAGAACCCACGGAATCAGGTAGGGCCCAACTGAAAACCAAATCCACTTGTCGTCCGGGCAGGAATCGAACCTGGGCCTTGGCGGTTGAAGGCGAGGAAAGTAACCACTGCGCCAACCTGACTCCTGCATGAGATGTATGTATGTATACAAAAAACCCCGGAGGAACAACCGACATATTTGCAAACCAACCAACCAAACAGAAGAACCGACAAACAGACTGACTGACCAAGATACCAACCGACCGTCCGACCGACCAATATACAAACAGACTGACCGACCAACCGACCGACCGACAGTCCATTCGAGCGACCAAATGACCAACAAACACACCGAACAAGGAAACTACAAAGTGAGTGAACGAACAATTTGGTCAGTACTCCAAACTTACGTCTCCGTAAGTGCCTCTGAGTACTGCACACGGCATCTTGCATTATTTGCCAATCAAAAGACGTTATATCTATCGCCAGAAGGAACCTGGATACAGACACGGAGGAAACAGACAAAGGAGACAGATTTTTCCACTTCCTGCCATTTTTTTCACCACTCAAGAAGAATATCGAGTTCCTTTCTTCCTACGCCAATGGAGCGCGAATATCTAAAGTGGCTTTTCACTTGCAAAAACATCCCGGGGACACGGCCCACACTAACAGTAAAGTTAAAACTGTCGTTCTCCTTTCTCCTGGGGTAATTGAGAAAATGTATTTTTTTGATAATGTGTTTCTATGCTCCTAATTACGCACAATCCAAAAAAGAACAAAAGCATTATAATTAAATGCAAGAATAGAATTATAATTATGTTGATATATCTTAATTTTATAAAATCAAATTAATCATCCCGTTTTACCAAATGATTTGAACATTTGATTGTTTTTGTTTACATCGATAAATTTAGAAAATGGCATGGGTTGAATAACAACTGAAATAATGACATTTCTTTATTAATGCGGTTTCAGATTAATACAAATATTTAATTCCTGTTAGAGTCTATAATTCACGTTATGACACTTGATATAAAAGGTTTGGAGGGTAGTTTTATCAATTCAATACGAGCTTAAGAGCCCTTACAGCAAGCGGAAGCTTTGAGTGGTCTAATCGGATTACTAATCACCCCCTAAAACATTTCCCCGTCTCCCTGAGAAATAGGAGTTTCTCCCCATCTTTGTTCTTATGCCCCTCCCTCCGCTAAACGCCGATATCACTCTATCGGATAGGACACAAGACTGCGGCGCTCCGCTCTACTGCCGTCACGCCATAGTCAATTGTAACCTATGCCTGGTTCATCAGGCAAGGCCGAGCGCGTCGGCATAATACCCTGGCCCGGAAAATGCGATTTGGTGCCCGCGCACCATATGTCCTGCAGCCGCTCTCCTCCATCGCCGCCGATCCGTGTGATGAAAAAAAATCAGCGGGAATGTGCGGGGAGAATGTCTGGATGTGCGCCCCGCTGCCAAGTCACACGCTGGAGAACCCGGCTTGTTTAGATTCATTGTGTAGCAATTTCACCTTTTTATTTTTGATGTCTCCTTCTCTTTTCTCTTTTTTTTTCTTTTTACGGTGAAGGCGATCAAGTGTGGCCCCGGGAGACCGAGGTCCATTACTGAGCGAACGGACTCCAAAGACGGCCACATCTGTTCACTGGATGCGCCGTGTCACGGTACATAAAAACGGGGACTGAAAGTTTGATGGATCAGCTTGGGTTTTGGAGCTGAGAGAGAAAAAGACGGATCCCCGAACGAGATGAGGCTATTGCTGGATGAAGTAAGACTCTACAAAGATGAAAAATGAGACCAAACTGGGAAGAGGATGTAACCGAAGACATAACACGTAAACGCGATGAATTATGCACAATAATATACAGAGGTAAAATGGGCACTCTAACAAAAATGAAAATAATAGATTTAGTGGTCCCTCGTTACCTAAGCTATAACTATTATGTACAAACCCTGTCCCATTGGATGCACATTGATGTTGCATCATTGTGTCTATTAGTGACCACATAGAAGTGGACAATTCTGCTTCATTACTCACGATCTGCATTTTATGAATTTCACACTAACAAATGTGCCCAATCATAATGGGTTCCCCAGGGTGACAGCATTATGAATGTTCATTTGATCTCACATTATAAAAGTGTCCACAAAGGGACAGCAAAATGTGCCTAATAATTACATTCTCATTGTAGTCCACAAAAAGAGAGCAAATTCGCCTAATAGTTATAGGCCCTACTCTCACAAAGTAATATTTGGTCAACCCAAAAGAGAAGCAAACCCCAATAACTTTTAAATTTTGCAATTTACTTCAATTGTTGTGAGTAATTTCATTGTCCTTTTATTTCTCTGCGAAGTCAATATTTTCCGCAAAAGCAACAACCGTCTCAATTAGCGTCCGTCCCGCTACAAAAAAAAGAAAAGAATAACATTTTAGCGGAGCAGATGTCGCTTAGGTCCCCAGTGACTTTCAGAGTAAATTAGCGGCCGAGGAATGATCGCGATGGCCCCCCGCGACCGGTGTAGTCGTACACGGCGAAACAAGCTTAGCCGATAAACGAATTACATTAAAGGAAAATTGACCGCGTTGCGCGACTGCATCGGCTGACGTTGGCATCAGAAGACATCCATTATTTTGATGTATTGGTCGCGTGCGATTGGCTTGACAGCGGAGTTTTGGAAATTTTTGGGTTGGCTAAGGAAAATTGACTAAATTGGGACTCGAACCGGCGACCGCCCCAATACCGCACCGTTGTTTACCAACTGTGGTTATCCTGTCCTATGGTATATCTCCACTTATCACTGTCGATATTCTTGCACTGCTTCTAAGAAGTCGGGGTAGAGCAGAGTGATCGGGACAGAGCGCCGGTCCAGCATTTTATAAGAGGTCGTAGATTGAACCCCGTTATGTGGATGTTCTTTGAAAGGATTGAAAAAGATTACATGTACTTGCAAGTTGATCTGCTCTTCAAAATATGTAGAGTCTAATATGATTGACACTACGTGCACTCATCAGATGACCTCAGCTATGTCAGCTTGGTACAAATTTCGCTCAAACAACTTTCACTGTTTTACAGTCTATTCAGTTTACTTCTGTTGTTTATTCAATTGGATACAGAACCATACTGATGGTCACCAAACCACGGACGCCCTGCGAGTCAACAAGACCGGTTACCGACTCTCACCCCTCCTTGAATCACTCGCCCCTCTCCCTCAGCCTCGAGACCATCCCCCGTACTTGCCCTTGATACATCTCCTCCTGTCTCGGTAAACACAAACGGTTGTCAGTTTTTGTCAAACATCGACAGTCGCGGTTGCTGCAGCGAGCAGCGCGCCAAAACGCAAAGGTAAACACGGGGAGACAAGACGATTACGCCTGCGTCTATTTACTTTTAATCGCCTTGTGATACCTCCATCTGCTAGGCAATTTTTTCCCCGTTCTATCCCGGGGAAAAGATGGAGATTGCCGAGCGAAAAGAATGACTCCTTGGAGGGATTGGAGGAGACATGAGGACTTATTACGCGGCTGAAAAGATGAGAACAGCTCAGGAAATGGACAAGGGAGCATTGTTGAATCATGAAGGAGATTATCACGTCGACTTGTTAGGCAGATCTAAATAATTTCATATAGGCCCTATATTTTCTTTTTAATAACGAAATACACAATCATGTTCATTGAGCTAAACTCAAATTTCTCAAAATTGGAATGATACATTTATTAAAACAGTAAAAGGAGCGCGATGAATTGAATAATAATCTGACATTTTTCGGAAAGCAACATCAACAAACTACAGCACAATGAAATAGCATGCCTTAAGTTGAATACTTACAGGCCGGGGTATAATGCCAACGGTGACGTATACTCGAATTTGGAATTTCAGTGACACGTTAGCACGTTCCAGGAGCTAGGGTATTTTGAGAAGATTATCTCAAATTATTATCTTAAGAAAAGTTCCATTTATGACAAAGAACATACGAATGATCAGCTTAAACTCTGCATACCAAAAGCTTACGCTATGGGGTACATAATTTCTTATAGAACAAGCAAATTATTTCAATTTGAAAGTTAAAGTTGCTACTATAAAGTAGCCTTTGCTTTGGCAATTCGCATTTTTTGCAGTTTCAGAAGAAAATATGTTGAAAAATAGGATGGCGCACGAGCGTTTGTTATATCGCGCTTTTTTTCTGCCACTTGCAGATCGTTACTATACCGCAAATACCAAGTCCTAACTATATACTCTACAACCCAAGATGTCTGAATAATTTACAATAATTCATGACAATTTATTCATGATCTGTAAGGTACACTTTAATAGAGGACTTGCGGAGTTCATGCCAGTAGATTTCAGCCGAAGGAACAGGTACGGGAGGCTGTCGGCCGATAAGCACTACGAGCATGCCTCTCGTCGCTCAAAATTTCATCAGTGCAACCCTAATCCCCGCGCGGGGTAGAAAACCGGAACATATATACAAAGAATTACTGGCCACGGTTCACCAATACCAATCTGGTCTGGAAAATCCCCGGGATCTGTGTCCTTATGCCGCCACTGATATGTGTCAGTGGAAGAGAAAAGCAAAAAGAGGAGTGGACGGGGTAGAGGAAAGTAATTTCCCTAATTGAATCGCGCTAAAAAATGGCGCGGGAAACTCCACGCGCGCGCGCGAATCACAAGTGCATTAAGCGATGGCATATTGTCGTGTCGTTTACCAGCGATCTTTCAACCCTGCCATCAGGCTGTTCTTATTCCGGGGGTGTGTCTTCTAGTTTTTGGTATTTTTTCAGCCATGCATGGAACCAATTTTGACACTGATGTGACGGTCTTATGAGGTGTTAGATCGTGGTCTTACGAAGGTTGGGAGTCGGGTAGGATTACTGGTACCTCGCTACCTCATTGTTCGCTGAGTGACGGGATTTGGAAGAAACACTAAAACAAAACCAACGCTGGAATAAAGTTACTTGGAGGGATTTGTTTCGCTGGCTCTGATGAGAAACGTGATAGCTACATTTTCTTTAGGCCTATCGTTGTCTAAATGCAGGCTATGTTTACAAATTCACCCTAACCCTAAAGGAAAACAAACTGCAACCTTATGTGTTTGTGTATTTCTATCAAATAGTTGTACAATTTGCTTCCGATATGTTACACAGCAAAGCATTTACCCTTTTCAATACCATTTCAGATACATTTCTAGTAAATGAATTCACGAGTTGATTAACCGCGTGTAGCGGGCGTTCCCCGCGAAACGGGCGAGGCAGCGAAGCCGCCCCCTCCGCGAAGTGGACGAGGCGAATCCTCGTTACAATATTCTCAAAATCTCGTTTCCATTTTCATCGGATTTGTATCCTTGTATTAGTCCTTACCCTTGTGAATGAAATGCAAACTATCTTTTCTACATTAAAAAATGTGGCATATTTGTCGAAGCGGAGAAAAACGCCAGTGCATCGAACTTTTCAACTAAATTACCACAGCCCCTGAATTGGATGAAAGATGACCGTCAATAATGTCAAGACTTTCAGAGAAAGCAATCAAGATGATTCGGGAGCAATGACGTCTGGACTACTTCCCCCCGGAGGAGAGATCTAACGCCTCTTGTCTACAAGTTCATCGAGGCAGGGAGCGGGCGGCCACCGACCCACCAGGCGGTACTTGCCTGGTGATCCAGAGCCAGGCGTTGACGGAACGGTGTCGTCCCCCTTCACTGGCCGGCCCCCCTCGGTGTTTACCTCTCGCGCCGTGTTCCTCGAAGGTGGATGCGGATCGGTTGTCGCTTTTTTTACGAGGCGTGATGAGACGGAGAGATAAATGATGAAATGAGTCAGGTGGCTGTTGCCTGCTGATCATCAGTCATGTCTGGCGAACTTGGGCAACATCCGGATGAACAGGGTTACAAGAACAACTTATAAAGCCTCTTTTTTTGTTTTATTATCCCTGTTTCCAAATTCCTTCTTGCAAAGTCCATTTATATTTAGAGCAAAAATCATAACATGATGAAATTACCGTGCATTTGCAAGCAACTACAAATAAGCTGGAAAACAAAACGGCGTTTAAAATATCATATTTAATCTGATACTATTTTTTCAAGTTCTTTATATTTTACAATGAGTTATTTTCTTAATACTAAAATAGTTCTTTGTACATCCGATTCGACATGATAAATAGGCACTATGAGAGTGTCATAAGACCAATCACGTGACTGGTAGAAATCAACGTAAGAGGTCAGGTGATATAAACTGACGAATCACAATCTAAAACAAACTGTTTGAAACGAAAAGGCATTTTTAAAAGTTGAACAAAGAAATTGACTGGAGTGGGGTTAAATAGCGACCTCCGGATAACTAATCCGGTCTTGGGGATAACCGTTCCGGTCTTGGGGATAACCGTTCCGGCGCGGTGTTGGGGAACCGCCAACATAAGGTTAGATAGCTCAGTTGGTAGAGCATCGGAACTCTTATCCAGAGGTCGCAGGTTTAAACCCTACTCCAGTCAATTTCTTTGTTTAACTTTTATAATTTCCATAATGCACCTAGTCCGTTCCCCTTTCTGTTCATTTGAAAAGAAAAGGCATAGGCCTACTTTTGAGGAGCAATCGGCAAACAATATACAAACAGATTTAAGACACTTGTAAATGGAATATCATGTCTGATACTTCCGCATCCAAATTTAAAAATGAATTTGTTTCTGCTGGTATTTTTACACTTGAGATTGTTAGTATTCCATTAAAAATGTTAGCGATATAATCTTATCATTATTTTTGTCGTAAAACTCTATTTATGTATTGGAATAAAATATCTGGTATTTATATTTACATATTGGACTGATATTCAAAAATTTGAGGTTAATTTACCTCCATAGATACAAACAGATATCCATACACTGAACAAAATAAGATTCAGTGACATGACATGAACAGTTTTCTTTAATCTCAGATTATAATTGAGTATTTACAACAACCCAATGTAAAGTCCAATCAAAAGGTACTTTATGATGTTTAACATGATACAGATTTCTAGATCACTTAAGAAATATGACTACGTGCGAAAGCCTGCAGATTCTAATGTCGAAAGCCTTCATGACATTATGGTATAGACCTTATGCATTTAGGCGGAGTCTGAGGCAATGGGTTTGTATCACTGGGATAGGCATTAGTGAACCTCTTCGTGAATTCATTGTAACTGAATTGTAATAAGCAAAGACCAGCCTCTGACACACCTGTTATGTATTAGGTCTAATCGCCTAGGTAATGTAATGCATAATGTTTAACTGATTCCTGGAGTTTGAAAGTCCTGGTTTACGCGTATACGGTGCTGATTTTGTTCTAATTCCACACGGGTCGTTTCTGTACCCTCCCTTTGCTGTCAGATACAATGGTGTCTTCACTCCTTCTTGGTCAAAAGAAAGTCGTTTTCGTAAAAGTAGTTCACGCCCCACGTCTTGGACCAGGGATTCATCGCATCCACGTGCTCAAGATGCTCCACGGTGCATAAATCACCTGCCAAGAAAAGAGGACAGTTTTACCCTTCAGTTTCAACGCAAGAGGGCGTCGTGGTATGCAAAGAGGTCAAAGGTATACATTTCATTATGCACTTTAAAGATGCTGAAACCTCTAAGAGGATGATTGATTAATGTTTAGGTATATTTATAGTTTGCAGCTGATGTACAATGAAAAAATAAATTCTGGAGGAAATTCATCAGGCAGTTGTTTGTTAATGGTGGCATTTCGTCAAATTTTCCACGGTCCACCTCAAACTCGTTCTCAATGGCGGGAAAGAAATTCGTGGGACCATTGCGCTCCGTCATCTTAGGCGCGTACGAGGTTGCAATGGGTCAAAGGTCACGCTTACCAAAGAGTTGTGTGACGTCTTTGGGATCCATGTTGTGTGGTGGCCCGGAAAAGACATCATGAGGAATCTCAAAAATATCTAGAAGGTAACGACTGTCCGGCTTCAATACGTCAGTGATGATGTCACGATATCTGTTCAAAAACGAAAGAGGTATCAACGCAGCACATGAATAGTGAGTATGAATGGTGCGGGTTTCCAACAACTCCTTATTAGGAATTTTTTCCAATATTATCCTTGCTCATCCTGTCAATATTATCCTTGAAATCGCTTGTTAAACTGAGAAATGTTGATGCATTTGATTGGAAAATCAAGCGTTAGGTCATGACCCAATTTAAACTAAAAACCTTTGATTCGCTTTATTTGTTACTTGGGTTATTCCATAAATTTGGGGTCCGAAAGTGTGACATTTTGTGGTGTCTCTGTTACACCTGACTTGTGTTAATTGCCAAACAAGATTGACTTCACACTATTCATCATTTGTTTGGCAGGCACTTTGCTTTACGTAATCACTCTTGGAGACAGACGACATTAAAGAATGTGTCCCTGAATTGCAAAATGTCAAATGTAACAGGGACACAACAAATTGAACCCCACATTTATGGAATGACTATCGTTACATCCTCCGCAAAGACCTTGGTTTTTCATTTGTTATAACTTCACTATTGGCTTCTCATAGTGCAGTATTGGTAATTAGAACTTTATGCAAGAAGTATGCAATCTATCTTTGTATCGCAAAATTGTCACCTCTAAAAACAACTGTAGACATAATTATTTGCATGCTGAGATACCTCTGTCTGTCCTCAGGATTAATGGCCGCCATGGAGCCTCGGTCCCAAATGCAGTCGAACTGACCGATGAGGGCGCTAGAGAGCTTGAAGAAATCCGTGCAGTATATGGTGATATCCTTGTCTTTGCCCTGCCAAATTCAAAACAAACTAGAATGTAAACATCTGTTAGCCCCCAAAAGGCAAGGAACTGAGCGAGAAAGTTACAACAAATATGTTTAACCCCCCCCCCCTCCCAAACCCTTACAATTCAGCCCTAGTCCAAGTTAAGAGGTGAGATATCGGAAATATCCTGCTGACTAGCTCTAAGGACAAGATTGTTGTGATTAGAGAAGTACTCTAACATCACCGACGAGAACTAATATCAGGTCTCTCTCAAATGACGTCACTTCCTACAGGCTGTCACGTGCGCGTGCGCCTGATGGCGTTGAACACGCAGTTGCAATGTTCCTACGAAGATGGCTGTCTTTGAGAGGGGTTTATTCAAATATTCACCTTGTACACCGTGCCACCTACGTCCTCTGGCAGGGACTCTGTTGTGTACTCCAGATTGTTTTCTGCAAAGAACTGTTGGACACCTAACTCTACGAACTCACAGCCTACTACACCGCAGCCTCGCTCTAGAAGCCTGGGAAAAAAACGCAGATTATAATTGTTAAAAAGTATCCTAGTATGATGACGGTTTGCGATATGGAGTTGCACATTTTTATTCCGGTTTTTGCCATGCAACCGTTGAAAGCTGGTGTGCAAATGAATAGATGTTTTCATCAGATGACGTCACTCCGCCCCTATCTATTATCGCTGAATATTCAGTTTCATCCAGGAGCTTGTGGGAAAAAATATTCAAAAGCTTTCTCGTGTGGGATTCAAACCCACGACCTTCTTACTCAAGCCTCGGATAAGGAGTTAGCACAAGATTTCCTTGCACCGTTTCAGCAACCATGATTTAAAATGTCAGAAAAACCATCAATTACCAAATCATGTCGACCGTCTTCCCACAAAGCGGAACTAGGAATCGTGGTGTCTCTTTCTCTTGGCTGAGTCTGTGGAAGTGTTTCTTCAGCATACTGACACAAAAGAAAACAATAAAAGCTGCTTAAAACATAATTATTTCATATACCAGATAATGACACCCTAACTTTTCAATTTAGTCGTTTTGGCGGACCTGAGAGAAATAATGTTAAGCCATAACAGTTTATCAAAATAGTATACTTTTTGGATCTTTAACTTACCCATGCACCTGTGCCTTGTGGAACTTTGTCTTTCCTCTTTCCCACTTTGTTTTCCAGTCCTCCGTCGTCACGTGACCGTCTGATACTTCCCCGTCTTGGTTTCTTCTAACCGTTACTTCGGACGCGGTAGAGGTGACCTTCTCCTCAACATTCCCAGCTTCTCGGTGTCCGTTCTCGGCCACCTTTGCTTTCTCGGTCGAGCACGCGGTGGCGCTCTTTCGTCTCTCTGTCGGCTTTGCGGTCGTGTGGCCGTTGGTGGCGGCGGCTGGTTTCGCTGTTGTCGTGCGGATCTCGCTGGTCAGCTGCGGGCCAAGTTTGATTCTCTTGGCGCTGGTGGCGCCCTCGTCGCTCCCGTTACAGAATCCGTTTTCGAGCGGTGCGGCTACTGTACTCATGGTGAGATTTTAAAATACGTTTCTAGTCACAACGACAAATCTGGAGAAAAAGAAAGAAAGCAAGGGAACTATCGTCAGGCATTATGACTCTTCTCTTATTGCCATTCGGGATACGAACCATTTAAGTTGAATCATCACATGATATCACAGTTGGCCGGTAACAGAATTTCTGCTTGTTAAATTTGAACAAAAAGTTTGTTCGCTCAGAAAATCGGTTGGGTACTCGTCTTGCGGAAAATTTGGCCCGAGATCAGACCCAACAACTTACCGATGGACCTACGTGTATGCTGTAAAAATGAATCACCTGGAAAACTACACAGTAAGCAGGCAGGGGCGCGTGAGACAACACATTTTCATTTGACACAATGAACTTTTTAAAATCTGATTACTGTCACTTCACCGAGCAGACAACCGATGATGTATTACGTAGTCTAGACTTCATTCACCGTAAACAGATCGACCTTGATACACTTTGACCGATACACTTTTGTCAATGGGTACTCATAATGAACACGTGATTTTTTCTCTGTTACATAACCGACAATGTACATGGTAATATCCATTCAAAAGAAGAAAGGTTAAAGTAATTTCGCGTGCTGAAGAGCACGCTTGCTTTCTTTTCTATTCTTCTGAGGATAAAGTATTGTCAGTTTTCCCCTTTCACAATGGCTGTCTTTGGGGGATAATGATGTGATCGCTGCTTTACGAGTGCAATGGTGGCTGAGAAACTGTCTGCTGTCTGTCTGTAAGTGTTTTGCAATTGGTTCTGAAGATGTACTGTCTAATTGTATTCGAGGTTCCACCTCGGAATTGAAATAGATATTTGTTAAACTTTTTATTTTTCATAGCAGTACAAAATTATTCACTTTTGACTGGGATATAGCATGAATGAAACAATACAGGCGTTTCTATTGTGCATTAGTGGCGCAAATTAATGTACTTCCCTCCCCCCCCCCAAAAAAAAAAAAATTAATCCGTTATTAAAAGTGCTGCAACCGTCCGGAAAAAATATGTTGAAAAAAAAATATCAAAAATTCGCAAAGATATCAGTGTCATTTTGTCTGGACAAAATGATGTTACACGGGAAATATCAAAGCACTATGGACATTTAGTGTCCAGTAGTGTTGTTCTCCTCGTCCATGACATCATAACGGCAAGTTGAACATTGAATAATTGCTTATTAAAAAAATTACACGCTTTACAAAATGTCATCATACCGAGTACTGAGCAACGTTGAACACTAATTGAGCAGTTGTCAAAACAAAAGTCAACGCCGCAACGATAGATTCAATTCAGTTCCACAGGACCGTGATGGCAACTGTATCTTTTGTGCGTGTCACCACGGGGTGTCGGTTCCGCAGCCAGAAAAAAAACCGCCCCCCCCCAAAAAAAAAAAAAAAAAAAGAAAAGAAAAAAAATAATGTAATAATAATAATAATAATATTGGACGCTTCTTAGCGGTCTCTTCATCACAAAAACACAAACCACAAATCAATATTACAAACAACACCAGCCGTCTATGAGGCGCCACCAATGTGGTATTGAAATGTCAACTGAATGATTACAGCTGCGACTACTGCCGAGACACTATTCTGCGCCCCCCCCCCCTTTCGTAAGCGCACTGCATATCGCTCAAACAAGACTTGCAATTGGAGCTAGGGGTGGAATCGTTATGTCACAGCGAGGGACAGACGCGTTTTCTGATTGGATGAGCCCGACTGATGTAATCAGAGGACACAATTTACGCCACTGAGCACCATTTTCATTATTTTGGAATTGCATCAGGAAAAAAAAGAAAGTATTAAAATATTGAGAACGAAATGTTGTAATCGTAAAACCTCAAGAGGCCTACAGATGCACTTTGGACGAATGGACTTTGTATCTGTCTGGATATTTCAGTCCGGGCGATCAAATATATCGATTTATTGATTTGCCTCTCACAAATTAATTGATGACAAATCCTGATCAACAACTGATCATCATTCGTTCGATGATCCACTTATCAATCAAAAGTTCTGCAAAAAACAAAAACTGCTAAGTTATTGAAGGGTGGAGGTTTAGCGGACTGTCGCCTCTTCTTGCAAAGATCGTCTGTGAAATTACACTCAAAGTGTGAAATTACACACCTTCATTTCACTAAGGGCTGCATGCAGAACGGAGGAGTAAAAAAAAACGCAAACTGTTCCAGAATATTGTGGTTGTTACCAAAAGAATACGAGAAAAGAAACAAAGACATGTGCATCCAACCACCTTCCCCTCAAGCACTTTAACCTGACTTTTCATTAAACCGGAAAGACCGTCTCTCTAGCTCTCTGTATACCACCGGGGGGGGGGGGCTCTGCGTGGGAGGTTTTTATGCCCCCCCCCCCGCCGCATCTCTGCTCGAACACCGCTGTGTTTTCGACGAGGTTGATATTCTTATTATTATATTGGCCTAGTGTATGATATAATGCACTCAAAATTGCCAGGCACGAAACGGAAACGCGGAGTTTCAATTTCCATCTTTTTTCGTAACGGGAATCGTGTTCCAAATGCCAGCGACACTTTTCTTGATGAATTGACGTGGGTCGCTCAGACTTTTCTCCTTACAGCTAATGGCTTTTGCATTGGGTGTCACATCGTAGATAGTTTCAGGCCAATTTAGGCAATCATTTTGTGGCGATTGTGCAATGCATTACACCTGTCTTTTAGACCTTGTCGGGTTAGAAAACGTGACAATTTTCCACAGAATGGTTTCTTTAAATTTGGGGGTATTCTTACGGTTTAATTCACTTGGGAACAAACAGCTGAACGCAAATGGTAGGTGCTTGGAGGAAAATTAAAACTCGGATTTGAATTAGGATCATTAACAGTTCTTTTTTTTGTTTATAAATTTTGATTTTTTGACCGAAAAAATTACTGACTGTGATAAACTGACCGACCAATCGTCCGACCGACCGACCGTTCGATTAAGAGACACAAACTGACCGAACGGAAATGGTCAAATCGCCGGTTTGTCAGCTCTGCTACGGAGTGACCGACCGACGAACTGACTGACTGACAGAATGAAGGCCCTACTGATAAACTGACTGCAGACTGCTGAATGACAGCTGCACTGACTGACAAAATGCATTTATTGCCTTGAAAAGAACCAACAGCCAAACAGACAGAACGACTAACTGACCAATTCAAAATCGACACAATCTGACTATCAGCCCCGACGCAACGAATTAAATCCCAATGACAATATCTCACGATGGAGGCACATGATGTGCTATTATTATAACAGGATCCCAAATCGGATTGCGTCCCTTGCGTGTCCAATATAATAAAGCAACGCAAGGTTTTGACTACCCATGCCTACCACGTGTGTGCTATCGGTGATAACAGCCAACACAATGACTCAGTTGGACTGAGACAACATCCGAACGCCATCCACGCCGTAAAAAGAAAATACCGAATTGGACTCAGATGTGCAAAATGTACCGCAACACAGGACGAGAATAGCACTTCCGATATTAGTAATACTTTAACCAACAATACACGCCAATTACAGTTTTGAACGCACGTAAAATTTTAGCTTAATCAAGGGCAACTCAACATTGTATTTACGAACTCTTGCATTTACGAAGTAATGCGCATAATCACTTCTGTTAAAACGCAACCTAGACTTATTCAGCAAAAAAAGAGGTAAAAAGCAGACAATAAATTGAATGTTAGTAAAGTTAACAGAGAAATAGTGGATATGAAACTAAGAAGAACGACAGCAAGACAGAAAACTTCAAGCATCGTGCACTTATAGGGCAATGTTTATATTCCTTCGCGTAAATATAAGCGTAAATACAACAACTTATAAATACACAAAGTAGGAGCAACAAAGAAAGAAAAAACATGTCAAGAAACATTCCTCACAACTCGGTTTAAACATACCATCCGAACGATAGGCCAATATGTACTCACCTTTATTTTTGTGTGTGGAGAACTAAAAAGTCCGCGTGTACTACGGAGCGAGTGATGTCTGTCACAACACGCTGTTCCCACTCATTAATCGCGACGATAACACAACTGATCCACACACCAGCGCTCTCCGCCAATATATACGTTTCTCGTCTGTACTACAATAGAATCTCCTTTCGCTTGGTATGCGCTGTCTGTCTGATGTGTGCCGTTTTCCCCTTTCTATTTTCAAGGCCCGACTGTCGCAGTCGGCCTATCACGTGCGCAGTGCGAAGTGCGTGCGTGGGCCCACTGATGCGGGGCTAAACACACGTGAGGGAGCGATCCAGTTTAAGACTCAGGTGTTTTTCTCGAAGACGATGGAAAGATGTGGATGATGATAATGATGAATATGACGGCAAAACCTGCACGGGTGACAAGGAAATGAGACATATGCGGAATAGCTTAGACAAAAATAAAAATGACGCCCACTGTTTCCAGTGAAAGCTTTTAAATAATTTCATCTGCGGGCTAAGTTGATTATGTGGGATAACGTCCATTATGATATGGGTATGTGGGTACATGTGGGTACATTTTAAAAATCAACACTTCGTGGAAATATTAAATTATTGACTGATGGGGAGAAAGTGACTAACATATCATGATAGCTTGAAAAAGATATATCTTTTGTAAATTTATGCTCTACAATTGAGGGATGGAAATAAAATGAACGAATTGATAATAATAATTTTATTGATAATAATAAAAGAATTTTGTTATACATTGTACGATAAAGATAATTTCAATTCTACGTAAGACAATTTGTTTCCTTGGGCATAATTGAATTTTGAATCAAGTGTACTTTAATTCTTGGAGAGTTAAGACAACAGAAAATTATGTCTCACTTTAGTAAGGAGGTCACACTTTTGCTTAGTAATGTGACTTAATTAAGATAACCTGAAGTTAAAACCACATCTAAATTATCAAAATGTTCATGTTTTTGTTCTTATTTTCTATTATAAGATGGAATTTTGCGTCGGGGCGATATAAATCAAATTAGGTTTTGCCCTTCGGGGATGGGCAAAACCTAATTTGATATATTTTCTACTATTTTCTTCCACCTCATGAGCAACAGTCTGTGACGCCACGTATACTCCTCCGACCTCATCGACACGGTCTCCGACGGACAAAACACATCGTCAACATGACAAATAGCAGGGCACTGAACTTGTTTACACGTTCTTAAAAAAGCTAAGCGCACAAGACCTCGAAAAACAAGGAGTATAAAGTGAATTTTTGTTCTTTTTTTCCAGAGGGGTTCAAACTTTGGGGGTGGACTAAACAGCGGTTAATGGTGACGTTATCTATAAACTCAACAATAGGTACACAAGCGAAACATTTGAATTGACCACAAGACAAAGAAACACGCCAATACCATAAGCTTTTGTGATTTGTTTTTTGCGCAAAGTGTCGGCAACACACTGTACTTGAAACTTTTTTTCGGCAACCTCTTGTTTTCGTTTGGAGACACACCAAGTGCTGTTTACTTTATTATTTTTATTTTTATTTGTATAATTTTGTGACCAGATTTTATTTCTATACAAAATAGGTTCAAATTCAGTAACTTATCTTAAGGCAATATTTGTTAATTTTGTATACAAGGGCTTTTAAAGTACACCTTACAGTCTCCAGCCTGAAATAGATATGTGACTATATTAATAAAAATTTAACATGCTAATTGGTCTGCCCAGACAAAGTAATTGTGACTTCCTCAGTGCGTGTGCCGCATTATTTTCATATAGGAGTTGGGTTTGCTTGGCAAAATAACAAAAACAACACATATGTCATGAAAACACTCGAACAATGAAGGTGGAAAACAAACGTACTTACACTGGAGTTCTTCGTCAATGTTAATGTTATTTCGTTCCTCGAAGTCAACTCGTCAGATGAAGCAAGTCACTTTGTTAATGTGAAATAACGCCGTTTGTATTTTACTAATCACACGCGATTGCGCGCTCCGTCGGCGATCCAACTTGAAGTGTTACCATACTCATATACGTCAGCACCACCTATGATGGTCGTATAACGCCTCGGATTGGCTAGTGTGCGCGCGTGACGTCATACGCGTCACGGTCGAGGTCACGGCGCGGTGACCTTGAGGGCGGGGCTACAAGAGACCTTGGGAGGATCAATTTTCCAGGGCCAAATTCATCGATACAGACCGCGTGTCAGTGTGGCCGTATCGCGGGCACAGCGCGGGATGTTCCAATATCCGGACCGGCAAAATAGTGCGCCAACATCTGCGTTGCTATGCCGATAACCTAATTAACAATTATTATTTTTTTCTCCGCCTGGTGCCAGTGGACTAGCAGGAAATTATGTAATAACTGATGCGGTCGCCTGATATTTATAACTTGCCTGCGGTGGCTTTGGTGCGCTACGTTGTTAGAGAATCGATCACATTATATCGTGCCAAAAACTGCACAATGTGGTCCAGACCCGATTACGCGACGCGACGGAAATATGGGTCGATCTGTTTGCCCCTTGACTCAGCAAAATTGATCGAGCACTAAGAATCGAAACATTAAGAATCGAATTTACTATAGGCGTAAATAAGCGAAAACACGAGCGTTTTATTTTTAGTGACTACATTCACGAGACTGTTGCTAAAAAAAGTACAAATTCTTCCTATAATTCAAGGAACCGGCCTAATGAAACTGGGAGACCTAGGAACCAAATAATTAAGGGTTACCTAGACAAAACAACAAAGAATAGACAGACAAAATATGCACTGAAAATGAATTGATAAATCTCCCGGGAAACGAAAAAGGACATGCTTCGCTTATAGGGCAAATTTGATCATACGTTGATCACTTTAGCGGAGGTATAAGCAAAAGAAAAGGATAGGTACAGGAACGACAGGTGCGAAAAACGTATCACTGAAACCTCCTCGTAATCCCCGTACATTATTCATTTATTCGAATAAAGATCGTGCGGAATAGTTAACGCTTACACACGTGTAAATGGCTTTCAACGCACATCGGCGTCTGAGAGGACTGTTTTTTTTTTTTGCGTCAAAACGCAAGGAAAACAGCCCTCCCACACTTACCACGCGTGCACTCGAGAAGTCAAGATCATCAGGTGGAGGAGTCGAGTGTTTTGGGGGATATTTTGCCTCCAAAAGATACAAGACTTGTTTACCTTTATCGGGTATTTTCCCCCGCACTTTGTGAGAGTTGCTCTCCTACATTTTCCCGGCAATGTCGTGCTTCAAATTATGTTAAGTTTTAAACGGAACGTGCTAACGTGAAAAGGAGATACTTCACATACATTTTAGGTAAGTTTTTTTTTAATATACGATAATTATCTGCATGGCATACATAAACATGTTTTGCTCTGACAAACGGGAATGTATTTTTGTATCAGAAACAAATGTTATAGAAACATATTCTGCGGTATGTAACATATTCTGCGGCACTTTTTCACTGTGCTACACACACAATACGTGATATTGCCATAAGGAGATTTAGTGCAAGGGTTCGAATCCCGCCCCAGGCCAACATGTAGAATGGTTTCACTCCCTACCGGAGTTCATATCCCATCTCTCTTAGCGAACATTTCTTCATCGCCTAGGGGGATCTTGGGCTTACGAGCTAACCCCCCCCCCCCCTCACCAAACATAGTGCTCGTTTGAGGAACCAATTACAAGAATATTTCTTATCAGAATATTTCAAACCAATAATATACGACAAAGGAAAGAGGATGAAAACAAAATTGTAAAGATAATGATGATAAAGGCAACACACTGTATCAGTCTGACTATAGGTTAAAGAAAGCCAAAACTTCCGGATGTGGGTGAATCTAATGAACGACTGTTTACGTCAGAAATCCTGGTCGTCAACCTCGATCCCCAAATGAAATCCGGCTTCGTCAACCGGAAATCAGTGATGAGTCCCCGGGGACGTGTTATGTCGTCTTTGAGCAATTTCAATTGATTTGTCCGCGACAAATAGACGGCAGAGAACCCACTTGTATGAGTGTGCATTGCATAAATAGGATTCGGTGAATCCTCATCGTGGTTAGGGATGGTTGCCAAGTATGTGCAACCTGTACCACCGTTAGGCTGGTTTAACGTGTCACGGTGTAAACGTCAAGACAATTTTCTACAACTGCTGGGTAATTCCTGATTGGACATTTCCTCATTAGAAATTAAAAATGGCAAATAGTGCCGACTTCCCAAGTAAAAGCTTATTTTGGTTTCAGTGCACAAGATAGAACAAGCCCTTCTGGGAAAAGTGTATCAATTTGCACGGAGCGTGTGGGTCTACCGCAGGGCGAAATCAAAGACTCGTAATGTTTTTTTCGCCAGTACTAATCCACGACCTTTTGCGTACTTAGTCATTAGTCACTCCGATAAATACATCCGCCATACCGCCATTACTAGTTGACTCGATAATGGGAAATCCATGATAGGTTACTCAACTGATCTCTTTTTCAGCTGGTCATTTTCCCGGCCGAGCACAGGCAAGCACTGAAGAACATTATGAAATCATTGCAACCTGTTAAATGCCAAGCAAATATTTGTGACTCCTTTACATCGACCCCGTACGTATAGTCCGGACGTCGGAGGTTCAACTCCCGCTTACAGCCACTGTTCTTTGTTCAATATTACAATTACATAGACCCAGATACATCGGAAGTGTTTAGGATGTCGCACGGCATTGTGGGGCAGGTTGTCTGAAGGAATGGAGATTTTGTACAGGTTAAAGTGTCCCACAATACAGCACGATGTCTTCCTGTCTGGTATAGCAATTTTATGCTGAGTCAAGGGGTCTATACTGGGTCTTCGCTCGGGCAAGGGTCGTGTAGAAATCCTGGTTCTCTCTGCGGTCGCGTCGACGCACGCACAACATGAAGGCTTTCTAACCAATACTCGGATAATTTGTTTTAATTAATATTTCCACGCGACTAATAAAAAGGGCAACCGCAATGGTTCAACCGACGGTAGTGGTGTCCGGGGAATGCTCCCATCTCGTGACAAGTTTAATTATTGCGACTGGGAATAGGCGTGACCTCATCTTGACCTCCGTTGTGGGTTGCTCTGTGCATGTTTTGCGATATAGATATTCAATGGGCGGGGGCAAGGATTTTTTTTTTTTTGGGGGGGGGGGGCAATATTTATCTCCGTAGGGGCACATAGAAGTACCCCGTGTGGGGTAGGTAGACCCATGCAGTGAACATTGCACCCCTCGATCCTCTACCCCATATGTAGTTTTTACCTCATTTTTCTCCCATTAAAGGAACTTAAAGGAACTCCCAGATAAATTATGTTTCGAATTGTTTACTTATCCTATTTCAAATGCGCCCAATTTATTCCAGGACGTATAATTCCCTTTTAATTTTCACTTCTTGTGTTAAGAAATCCTGTTTGTTTTATAACATCTTACAAGATGACCTAGGAAGGCTTGGTTTGCCATTACAGAATGTTTGAATGAACGTGGCAGTTTAACCATGGCTCCATGGTATAAAGTATCGCTATTTTTCATACTCTGTTTCAGCCTTGGGTCTCGTAGGCCTTGTAGGCCTATCCTGATATCCAATAGCATCGAAATGCGGTTATTTATCACCAGACAATGTCCATCCTAATCCATATTATCCTGTGGCCAAATATTGTGACAGTTTCGACTCTGATGGAGTCAACACAACATAAATCCTTAAACCTTGGAATCCGTTTCTGTAGTACACAAACTACACGTGCCTAACACCGACATATTTGTAACTGCTACGCTGCTGTGAATTTGACAATTTTTTTTTTAGAAATCTCATCCGCCATTTTTTTAGTTGAAGTCTTAAAGAACTTTTGACCCGTAAGAAGACTGCAAAATATTCAACCGATCAAAATGACAACGTAATTTGGTAGAATAAACATTTATTGAACACACTGTGCATTTCAAAATGACTGCCTTTGCTCATCCAATTTCCAATGTTCCGACTGTCTTCCTCTCTATGGCATAAATATTACAGCTAGCACTTCATTGAACCATGATTGAACCTTTCAAAGCAAACATGTTTTCTTAATGACACACCTCATCGGCCCCTCCCTCACTCGTCAACGCACGCACCGCGGCACACACGATCATCCCCCCCCCCCATGAGACCCCGCACTCCATCCCCTATCACTCAAAGGTCGCCGTCGATGTTTTCTCGGAACATCTGTCATCTAATTAATGCTTAATCGCTGGGATCCTGACTCGAGACAACAATGTCTTTCGAGGTTCCGGACTGCCAATTTTCGCTTCACGCGACCGTTACCATTCCCTATCTCTCTCTTCTCTCTGCTGAGCATTGCTTATGTGTATACTTCTTGGTCTGGTAAAAATGTCAAATGTCCATGTGTACTTTTTTTCTGGGGATGCCAACTCGCGGCACTTGTGTGCAAGCGGATATGGCTATATTAGCGGAGGGGCGTGCTTGATATGCGAATGGGGCATACTAGTGGGACTTGCTTAGGTCATGGATTTATTCAGCGTAATCCAGTCTGTCGACAAGTACCTCCTAGGACGATTGAAGGATTCACCCCTATCTCCTGATTGAATGGCAACACAGGGTAGATGTTTGCCACACATGGGGAGGCTTGTGAGGGAGATAAAGGAGCAAACTTAGAAGCGTTCAATATTGGGGTTTGCCCTTCACCGACGCATTTTTATAAAAACTGCATACACGTTCCAAGTGATTGTGAGAGCAAAATCACTCGGTGGGACTCGAACCCACGACCTCCTGCTTATTAGAAGCGTTATCATATTTTTAAAGGTCTAGTGTTTTTTTTTTTTAAATATTGTAATTACAAATCACCACTGCGACGTGGGCAAAACGGAGATTTTTGTATGGGAGTCCCATCGGAATACTAAAAATTGCAACAATAAAATGTAAGCCAGTTCCTATGCTGAGGATATCTGAACAAATTCGCAAAACAAACCCAGTAAACTAATTCTACTAGTCCAAGAATATCCGAACAAATATATTTTTTATGAATGAGATGAGATCGGGGGGTCCAGCCAGGACCTTGGCTGTTCTATCCACCAGTGCGGCATATATCGTCCACTTGTTTGTTTCTCCGAGCAATCGACCGCAGGTAGGCCTAAAAGCAAACACGGCTCCCCCTCCTTCTGAAGGTCGTACGATATCCGATTTAATAATCCTCCCCTGCTTGATACACGAGTAGTAATTACACGAGTGGTAATAAGTGATGGAGGAGGTGGCTTTGGTGTCATCAGACTATACAGGCGACCTTGGCGGAACGTCATGTTTGTGTACACCACGTCGTAACACCCTCTCAATGCCACTGGTCTGGTAATATCTTCTCTCTCTTTTATGAATGAAATTTGCGAGGGTGACCTCCAATCAGAGGACAATAGAGTTCCGGTTTGTTGGTGTTGTGTCACGTCTTCGGCGACTTATAAGACATACATTCTTCGGGAATCCTCAAATTAAATTAAGGCTGAAATACATGTACCCTCATTTTTGCTTAATTAGCACTTTTACGCCGGCAAGAAGAATAACTTAGAAACATGAAAAAAAGTCGATGGTGACAAAGACGATGACGATGAAAAAGACGAGACGGTGACAGTAATGAGACGATGACGATGATGACGATGACAAGAATGCCAGGACAATGAAGACGACGACAATGATGTGAAAGGTGACAACAGACGATGACAATAATGAGAACATCAGGAGAATAAAGACGATGACGGAGATTTGGACGATGACGAAGACGATGGTGATACCATGACAAACTGACGGTGGGCACGATGACGAAGACTATGACAATGACAATAAGGAAAACGAAGAAGACAGCAAAAAAAAAAGAAAGGGACAAAGACCACGACGTTAATGGCAACAAAAATGACAAAACGATGACAACCAGCCAAAATGTCCCGCTGTCCTTTTGAATTTTGCTAAGCAACTTCCCATGCAACTTTTCTGATAAGCATCTCTGTGTAGTCGAGTCGCGTCCTGGCATCAGAGAAGGGTCTCACGACCTCCGCACAGAAATTATGCAACTAATTCTATGCCAGTCAATTCTTGCAGAAAATAAATAGCTTCCGGTTTTGTTTTGTCCGGATTGTTTGGCTTACCTTGGCGATAAATCACGTCTTTGCCAAGGAAAGAAACAACATGTATTGTTGAATCACCCGATGAAAAATGATGGCGTGCAGAATTGGTAAGAGGATTGTTTACTTTGTGTGATGTTATAAACACGTGCTCTACACCTATTTACAGCAAACAAAACCCGAGGTCGATGTTTTCAATGCCTCTGGTATTTTGCCCCGACTTTTTGTCAGTCCGGCACGTTCGCAAGTAGAGGTAAGAGGTGGATTTTTGTTACGTTTCGTTTAGTCCTTCAACATGACACGTTTTCTTGATATCTCTTTTTACACCAGTTGGTCCAATGCCAGAATAATTCTTTTATTTTTCTGATGTTTTAAGTAGGATGAAATTATTTGCACATCGGTCTTAATTGTACATTTGGAATTTATCGACGTATCGGCGAGTGAAACAGCGCCTATCTTAGCCCAGTTGGTGGTGATTTCCATGTACGCCGCATTATTTTGTGCACGCGGTTGGGATTCAATCGAAGAAGACATTAAGAACAGGTTAATTAAATTTGAAATAGAAGCTAAGTATGTCTTAGAATTGAAGTGTGAAATGCTTTTGACCTAATCATCTGATTCTGATCGTATTTGGCGCAGTCAAATTCGAATTGAAAACAGTCGAACTTATATCCAACTGACCCTACCCATATAGTCCAGTAAGAATCATGGACATGAAAAGTACCCGACTCTGATATTTTAGCTAATTTTGGTCATAACGGTCATTATGATTTGCCCTTGCCATTTTATATTATTTTAATTTGAAAACAAACTTAATTGCAAGGATCATTATCCAACTATTCAAACTGGTAAGATTTCGCTTGGATGTCGGAAATACATGCCTTTCAATATACATTGTTCATCTCTTCCCCAAAGGTTGCTTTTGGTTGAATTTATGAGGAAGACAGCTGGAGGGCATAAACACATTGCCACTAAAATTTGCCCGACTAAAATGTCAGCGTATTCGTCAATTCTTACTGGACTATTAGTAAGCTGCGTGCAGTTTTGACTGCTTTTTATAGACGTACTTGCAATATTTCGATTCACCAAATGCAGTAATCTCAGTATAAACCTTCAACATTTCTTGTACCCAGTATGAACCCTTATGTAAGAGCCTTGGGTTTTCGAAGGTTTTCTACACCCCTGGTGTACTTGTTTCTAGAAACAAAAAAGTACACTGACCGGGGACGTCTGTATTAACTCCATTTTCCTGGTATCGGTGGTGATGTAATTGGCAGGTAATTCCACAAGACGCTGTGTAGCCATTGATTTCCAGTTCTAATTTACGAGCTCGCCCACGCACGCTGTATCCCTCGACCGACTGTAATAACATGAATATCACCATACTGACAAAATACATACATGTAAAACATGGTGCATTCCTGTCGGAGATGGATTTACACGATGGCACGCTAGTATGAGCTGTGCTATACCATGATAATTATGATCGCTGCAATAAACTGAGATTAACTGGCTCGCCTGGTGCATGATATATATTTTGTATCAACTGTAGAACATGAAATAAATTTCAACGCTAAATTGTGCAACTCATGACACAAATTAACCGACGGTTTTATCATTCGACGTAGGCAAGCGCAATAGACCATGTTTTCTGTGACGTCATACAGACGGGCAACCCAAGTATTAAGGACCCATGCATGTTATGTTTTAATGAAATCCTTGAAAATGCACATTTGTGCTCCAGTTCACATTGTTTTCAATTTTGGGTTTGCCATAGTCGAGGGTATTTTTGTGCCTTTGGGTCATTTCAAACCTCAATGTTACAGCTATTTCAGCGCCAAAAGTTGCCAGAATTTTAGATTTTGTTTACTGTCGCGCCGTTTTCTTTCTTTGGTGATTTGTTGTTGTTTCAGTACATGACAGTAAGCCAATAAGCAAACGTTTCTCACAGATGCTTTCAATGAGCAATTTTTTGAGTTCACAATTTGAACAGAAAACCCAAACTGAACAGTGTCTTCCTGAAATGACATCACAGCAACAGCGCCCTCAGTTGTTATGAAAAGCATTGAACATTTTTTTTTAAAAATGCTTAAAGAAGTGCACTTTTCAATAAAAGTAACCAAAAATGGGATGTCAAACAGTTTTCATACATTTAAGAAGAGTAGAAAGTTGCACAAAATGTGGTCCTAAAAGTAATTTTACGAAACCTTTAAGCACCTTTTGCATATCGTTTTGCCCACATTAAACAGTTTGTCACCAAAATTACAGCAATCACATTTCACGAGAAACACGGTTTGCTGAAAGTTGGCACGGAGTCACGTGACCACAGCATCCAATTTGTAAACATAATTTTGTGACATGGTTTATACCGTCAATGTGTTTGTAAAAGGGTCCAAAATGTTAGCTTCGGCCGAGCTGCGCAGCGGCTGCGCGTACGTGTACATTTCATGCATCATACAACTTGAACATGTTCAAGTGGAGAAGTTTTGCAAACTCATTCATTCACTTGAGGCCGACAATAACATAAAGAAAACAGTACAGGTCTAGTGTTAATTCTAAAGCGCAGACTGACAGGTCTACGGGAAAAACAGAAGTGCAACATGCATACAGTACAGCTGGCCACGTAACAGACAGAACACATAAAGTTTAAGCCTACCTCGACTGCTCGACAGCGACCATGTCTGTCATGTCGGCGGCACCACGTGCATTTTGCAGTCTGTAAATTAAATTTGCAGTAATTTGCAGACTTCACTGCACTGCAGCTGTACAATTTGTCCCGTCGAATTTCCGGTAAGCAGCTGGTCACCCTGGCTGGCAGAGAGGGGCTTAAATGATGGCTTCTTCTTCCCATATAACTGGACATTTGTACCGCATGTCTCATGAAAATAAATCTCCTTTTTTTTGTAAACAAACAAGTTCGATTTATCTTTGCTCGCATACAGCGCCTTTTACACAGCGCCCTCGCGTGATGAGGGGGCGTGGTTGACTATCCAAGATGGCGGCCCCCATCTGTGTAACAAACGTCGAAGTGAAAGACGTTCGATTCCCAACATCTCTGGAGCAACATGGATCGGATGCAATGGTAAGATCATTCTGTCTCATAAGTCTTGCATTAACATGACCTTTTGTTTCAAGATTTAACCTGCTTTATACTGTGTACGCCAACTTAAAAGAGTAAGCTGCCAAGCCCAGTTTACGGACATGACGGACATGACGGACAATGACGGACCATGGAGGAATATTCCTCCATGGACGGACAGACCTATTTCTCTATATAGACTCTATATGACATGTATGGTTAAAACTTAGCTACACCATTAGTAACCATGAATGAGCCAAAAAATCTAACTATTAAAAAATTTACTATTATTATTAAGAAAATGTGTCATCAGATAAGGCCAAATATTGAAATAAAATAAAAAAAAAAACATGTTTAGCGTCCTGCCTTTTTGAAAAATAGAAAGGAGGAGGCCCTCCAACCCCCCCCCCCCCCAAACCCGACCGGCCGGGTTATTTTTCAAGAGGGCCCGCGGCCAGTTTGTTTTTTTACTCGGGAAATGACATACCAGCTTTATATGGGCTAGATACAACAGACTTAGAGGCCAAAATGATGTCACTGTTTAAAATTAATCATTTTTCTTTTCCAAAAATAAAAATTAAAAAAGGAGGCGGCCTCCAAAAAGGAAGCTTGCGGGGAGGCTTAACCTTTTTTTTTTATTAATTGGCCTAAACAGCGGCCTCTTTTCTTTTTTTAATCTCCCTATCATTCATGGGTTTTTGTAATACAATACACCTACAAGTTATGATCCGTCCTTGACCATGTTGAGGTGTACATCATGTTTATAAAAATTGTTTTATTTATAACAGCACACAGACCCTGACTACTCCTGTGCATATGTCATCATCAGCACCAATGATGTTAAAAATGGAATTTGTGGCCATGGGTTGACTTTTACGATTGGACGAGGAACTGAAATTGGTAAGAAAAGGCTTCTCATTTTATTTCATTGACGGATAAGCCTGACGTTGTAATGTATGTCGTTTGTCATGTGGGGCCAAATTTGGGAGGATTCTGGATTGTACAGCCCTGCTATCATTATTGTACCTCCGTGAATTTGGGCTTGATGTCTTGGATTTGTTGAAGAAAACCAAAAGAAAGGTGTAATTGTTCATTGCAAAGTGTTAGATTTGGGGGTTGTTTGAGAAAAAAAAGTGCCTTTACTAACATAACTTTTTGTGTTTTTTTGGTTTCTGCCCCTTGTCTAGTGGTTGCTGCAGTCAAGGCGTTGGCTCCGTTTATCATTGGGAAGGCACTGTCAGACATCTATGACAACTTTGCAGACTTCTACCGCACACTAACCAGTGAACCTCAACTAAGATGGGTGAGAAATGTTCTTTTTTCTAGGCAGTGTTTGAAAGCTGATCCATTTTTGAATATGCTGATTTGAATTTTACTTTTAAGTTTAAGTCAAAACAGGCCAAGAAACGGCCAGTTGACACAGCAGGGCCTTGTGATTTTGTCATGAAGCTCCCCTTTACTCTTTCATGAATTATTTCCCTCTGTTTTTCATAGATATAAATCAGTTCTTTCTTTCCCTTTAAGCATCCCAATTCTTACTACAATAGATACTTAATTCTGGTCATCTTTATTTTTTTCACAACTTTTCTTCCAGGTTGGACCAGAGAAAGGTGTGACTCACTTAGCCACAGCAGCCATTCTCAATGCATTGTGGGACCTGTGGGCTAAGCGAGAGGGCAAGCCGTTGTGGAAGCTTCTAGCAGACATGGTGATTGATCATCATCAATTCCTTCAGAATAGTTTCTTTATTTAACCATCTGCTGCAGAAAAATTGACCCATACATTTTTTAAGCCGTCATGAAACCCCATCTGTAACTGATTTTAAAGGTACTCAACAAAATGTTTATTCAGGCAAGATGAAACTGTAAAAGGTAGTTGCTTTCCTTTTTTCAATCCAGGAACCAGAACAGATTGTGAACTGCATCGATTTTAGATACATGTGAGTATGGGTATTTCATATCTAAAAAAACAACAAAGAGCAACATAGTTATTCTTACATTTGAAACTATAGGAAAACTACAAGATCTTAAGTGAAGTACTTTGTTGTCTTCTTCACTGAAGCCAAACATATTCTCATACAGCAGTCTAGAAAGTCTAGCAGAAGTTAAAATTATCCAAGTTTCATTATTTTGTCGTTTTGTTAAAATCAGAACAGATGCATTGACAAAGGATGAGGCACTAGATATACTCAGGAACAACCAAGCTACTAAGAAAGAGAGAGGTATGAAGTTTAATTTTCCTTTTTTCTAAACTACCTGTTCCTTGGTTTCTTTCTGATAAGCACTGCTGGCTACACAATAAATTGCAATGTGAAGTAAAATAATGGTTGTCAGTTTGGCTGGCAACCTTCAGGCCAAATGTTTGTCGTCCACCTGTTAAATTACTTGCATCTGACATAAATATTAAACAATTTCCATTTTTTTTAAATATTTCATTTTAGAGCAAACGCTATTAACTGAAGGCTACCCAGCTTACACTACATCAACTGCCTGGCTAGGCTACACTGACCAAGTCCTGCTGCAGGTATGTGTCTGATGATTCACAAACATCAAATAATTACAGAACGAATGTTTATTCACAATGAGCATAATATCTACCAGAATTGGACCTCATGGATGAGATATTTCATTGGTTTTGCTTGTTTGTTTCTTATAAAGCGCTGCCGGAAAGCCTTGTCCGAAGGCTGGACCAAGTTCAAGATGAAGGTTGGATCGGACCTAGCAGACGACATCCACCGAGCTGAGTTGCTTCGTAAGGAGATTGGATATGACAAAATCCTTGTAAGTAACAATGTCTCTCTACAAATTCTGACGCGAGACATTTTCTAGGCTTAGCAAATTTTCTGCGCTGAGCAAAAATTTATTGGGAACCAGTCAAAAGTATAATATTGCATGACATATTGGCTGGTAACCTTTTTGATTGTCCTTGCATTAGATGATGGATGCTAACCAGAAATGGGGAGTGGATGAGAGCATTGAATGGATGGGCAAACTGGCCAAGTTCAAACCACTGTGGATTGAGGAACCTACCTCACCTGATGATATCTTGGGACATGCCAAGATTGTTCAGGTATTACTTTAAATCTTACAACCTGACTGATTGTTTTTGTCGGTCACCTGCCTGACATAATACACTGCACATGGGAGGAATACATGTATTTTACTTGTATATCCCCCCCCCCCAGGCCATGAAGCCACTGGGCATCGGAGTGGCTACCGGTGAGCATTGCCAGAATCGTGTGATGTTCAAGCAGTTCCTGCAAGCCGGTGCCCTGCAGTACTGTCAGATAGACAGCTGCCGCGTTGGTAGCATCAACGAGCTGCTATCAATCATCCTAATGGCCAAGAAGTTTGGAGGTAAGGCCAAAATTGCTTAGCATAAGTCCGATCTACAGTTATTTTTTTTTTAATTGATGTTTCTGAAGCCTTGAAAATCCTCCTCCATTCAGAAAATCAGTAGTACTGGTGAAGATTTTCAAGTGCATCAGGCCCTAGGCTCTGTGTAGGAATAGCAGATAGTATTGTCTGACGAGCAGTAGAGATGTGCGCAAGAACTGTGCAAGCTCTTACTAACACTCCTACTGTGGAAAGTGAACACCACTCACTTTCTTCTGAAATTGGAAAAGCTTTTAACATTTTTATGTGGTCGTCTGTCTCAATGCAATTCATAAGTGATAACTCTGTCTTTGTCCCTGCTTAGGGGTTACTTGAGCAAGTCCCTAGATTTCATTACCTCAGGCCTCAGAATTGCATATTTGATCACAGAAGAATACTACATTGTCCATAGAGGAATAACAGTTTCCACTTTCCCCTTGTTATTTTGTTTCTTCTCACCAACAGTTCCCGTGTGCCCACATGCCGGTGGGGTGTCTCTGTGTGAGCTTATACAGCATGTCATCATGTTTGATTACCTCTGCGTATCTGCTACATTTGAAAACAGGTGAGATGAATACATTCCATTACATCACCAAGACACTGATGAGTTGAATACATTCCACTACATCTTCAAGACACTGATGAAGATGAATACATTCCATTACATCTCCAAGACACTGATTCATCATTGTGGTAATTCCTTTATCCGAAAGAGTTTGAATTTGGTAACTTTGGATAAACTCTGTGTTTCTTCTGCATTAATCCACTGTCTTAGAGTCTTGGAGTACGTTGACCATCTTCATGAGCACGCCAAGTATCCGATTGTCATGAAGAACACACACTACATGCCACCAAAGGTCAGCAGTCTTATATATATATATAATTTTTTTTTCTGCAAATGACAATGTTCACACACTTCATGTAAAGTACAAATGAAGTGTTCATGGGAGGGTCTGTTTTCCTGTATTGTATGTTTTCACTTTCTTCAGCTTTCCAACTAATGCGACCCATCAACTGATCAACTCAAAGATAATATTTTGAAAAATCAAGTAATTCAAAATTGAAAAGGGAATCTTTGAGGAAAACTTGGTGGTGGACTGTGTTGCGAGTTTGCATATATTGTGATTGTCTGTTTGTATGTGTGTTATCTTGTCATGACCTAGGATCCAGGCTACAGCACGGAGCTCAAGGAGCAGACACTGATAGACTATGCCTACCCAGACGGTCAAGTATGGCAAGACCTGATCAAGGAGGGAAAGGTCACTGTCTGAGTTGACCTCCCAGCATGCATTGCATCATCCAGCCAGGTCAGGCTGATTTAGAGTTGATCGCATGGAAGAATATAATCTTCTGGCCATTGAAAACATTTTGGACAACAGTATTCTTTTCAGCGTGTTAGAAAATATTCTGCAATGATTATGGATAACAAATTGGCAATGTGGTACCAAATTTGGAATTGCGACAGATTTTCTTAAACAAGAGGTAATTTTGGGTCGTTGAAGGATTTTGCAGTAATAGATTAAGGTTAAACTCGGCCTCTATTGCTTTCGGAGCTAAACTTTCCTAAAAAGTGGTATTACAAAGAATGTGCCATTAGTTTCCTACATACGGTGAAGGATTTTGGAGGATCAAAGAAATTATGCAAAACTTCCTGGGGAGTCAGAGGTAATTGGTGCAATTTTGTTAAATTTTGTGGTGTTTTTGATATTGTACTGAATTATATATTTTTGGTAATTAGTCCTTGGAGTATAATATATAGAGACAAATCTGTTGTTGAAGATGAATATTCCTATAATGTATTTTTTAATGAATGCATAAAATCCAATACCTTAACGGTATCTGGTTGCCAAGTAAGTATTTTGTTTATTAACATTCAGTATAACTATACTTAAAGGATTAAACAGTATTACATTGAAGTCAAACTTGAATTTTAAATCACAACTAAAGTTTAACAGTCGTGTACACAAATTTCTTGCCGATGACATAATTAAACTCCTATTTATAAATGAAGCTATTGCCATTGTTGGTTTCTTGATGTTTGACAGGTGATTTCATATTCGGGTCGTTGTGGACTTTACCATTTAGTAGTGATACTGTTAAAGTAGTTGGCCCAATTTTCAACCGAGTGAGTACCGACATGCACCATATTTCGCAAGAGAAGCACACCTTTCACGGGGCAGTAAAGGCTCTTTCCAAGGCTGGAACAATGTAAGGAGCGAGCCAAAAGTGTGTAATCCCAAGACTTGATGAGAATCTAGGTATTATGGCAAAGATAATCGTGGGTTTCATCAAGGATGTAAGTTCTGCCATGGCAGAATTTCCTGCTTTTTTTAAATTGTAGATAACATTTCTTGCGCTTAAACACCGTGAATATTTGTTGTCGTATACATCCAATGTCCTGCTAAAATGTCAGAGCCACTTGCATCCCTCTGAACATTTTGCTCCAGTCAACCATATTCTTAATAAAGAAGTAATACTATTTCATTTCAAAGGAGGTTCTTAAGCAATAATTAAAGAAAGAAAGTAAGGTCTAATAAGTGTACCTTGAAGTCCAATTCGTATCGTTCCGTTCGAGCAGAGTTTTTGTCTACACTTTTACCGGCTAGACATACTCCTCGACGCAGTGTCTGTAGCGCGGTCCCACGTCACAGTAATCCCAGTCCTGGGTGGGATGACCCACAACGAAGCACCATGGCTTGCCGCGGCCTGGACCGGCCTCGATGCCTAAAGTACGGCAGTAGTTCTCCTCCTCTTTGAAGGCTTTGCTGTGGATTCCGGACAAAAAAAATATCAATTCCCATTTGAAAGTAATGAAGCCCGATGAATTTCAAATCTAAACCTCTGTGACTGTTTATTCTTCAATGTTTCCAACTCCATGGGGCTTCTTAAGGCAGAGGAAATTGGCTAAGCATAAGACAACATATTCTTAGCGGAGCGGAAATAACTTATCAGCCAAAACTCCACGGGATTTGCATTGCTAGAGACTGATTTTTCTTAGTACATTTGTTTGCTGTACACTGTGCAGTCATTGTTTCTGCTGATAAGCAGCTACTGCACCTCCTCAGACTGGACATTTGTAAGTAATATCGCGAAATCAAGTTGTTTAGAATAGGTTTTCCCAGCTATTTTAAAACGTTTATCATTCGAATTTACCGCTTCTAACATTTAAATTCGTCCATCAACATCGATTTAGTGCACTTCCAATGTTTAATTTCGTGTATTTGCCAGACAATTGCATTTTCAGTTCAATCAAATTCAAACAATAAGCACACGTTTTTGTCTCGGGGTATTCCATTTCGTCTCATCTACGCTAAACCTTGTTATGCAGGAATCAAATTCGTCTGATTGATTTACATAAGACGACTTCGATCTCTGAATGCTGCCTTTCAGCAACAGCTTAGACAAATTTGATCTGTAATGAATGACGAATATTCTCGACCCGGTGACTAGAGAGGGTGACAAAATTTGAAATTGAATGGTAAATGACTGAACTGGTTTTCTTAAAAGCGTGTGAAAATTTTCCCCGTACGAAATTGAATGTTAGAGTTGGTGAATTTGAAAGAATTTTGTTTTAAATAGTCGGGAAAACCAATGGTACCTACGTCTTCAACAACATTTTCAAATTTGACTTACTAGTACTTCTTGTTGTTGGGTCTGTCTCTCCAGAACTCGCAGGTGATTCCAGACACCGTGGTGGAGATGAAACCACGGTAGTCTTGCCCGTCCTTCTCCATGTAGCACTCCGGTCGGTACCCAACGTACGGCGCTAGTCAGAGAACCAGAATAATGAATAACGGGTTTTTATGCTGTGTGTATAAAACATCACCGGGATTGACGAAACACTCAGGACAATGCTCGGGAAATGGTCAAGACAATTTATTGAAGAACCTAGGCCGACAGAAGTGTACATTTTGAAGAGAAAATGATACACTTAATAAAAATGTCGACGATGAAATCGGAACAACTGCAGCGAATACGGCACGGTGGTCCGATTAAGTCGCATTAGGTTAAACGCATTGAAACAGATTAAAGCGCACTCGGGGCATTCCATGAATGCTTCACAATATTACTATCGTTGATGCAAGATTTGCAATCTTTGTATATTCTCTAGAAAGATGTAAGGCTGCGCGACTAAAATGAACAAAGAAACCCAGCTATCCTGTCAACGCCAGCACTATAGCTTTCTTCCCGCCTCCTGCCATACATCGCTGCGGTTCACCAACATTCTGGCAAGGTCATTTAGCCGACACCGCGTCCGGCCGTAAATATCGGTCCTTTCCCGATCATATCGACACAAGGTTCTGGCAAAGAACTTCATACTGGCACTTAGCCTGGAAACAAACCGATAAGCTTATGCCCAAAGCAGCACAATACCGACCACACATGCTTTAAACACCGGCACACATCTTGGTATTAACAAGATCAAGGGCATGGGACATTTAAAAAAGAATGAGCGTCTCCGAGAGTTCCTCATCAACTTACCGACCGGTTTAAGATGCTCGTTGATGCAGACCTCGTGCCGATCACCCACCTCGCAGTATTCCCACTCCACCTCCGGGTCCGTGGTGAAACAGAATGGCTTCTTGCCCTTGCGATAGGCGTGTCGGCGGATGCGGCAGTAGTTGTCATGGTGACCGAACAGCATCACGTTGCCCTTGGCAACGGGATGAGGAAACTGCTGAAGCCAACGTTGGCACGGTAGACCTGAGTTCGGAGAAGGAAAGAGCCGTTTGGTGAAGCTTTCTTTAGCAGGGATGCAGTCGAGTCCAAGTCCATTACAAGTCTCTACAACAAGTCCACCACAAATACTCCAGTCCCAACTCAACTAAATAAAAAACTATTCAAATGAGCTTTGACGACATTCCTTTGTTTTTGTTCATCCACCGTTACTAATGACTGTGATTAGTTGTGCTTTCCTTTTGACTGGGCTTATGATGGACTTGCGATAGACTCGACTACATCCTTGCTCTTTAGTAAGTTTTTAAAGTCGTGACCGTTGTTGGTTTATTTGAACAAAACTAAAACAACTAGAACACGAAGGAATCAAAACAATACAAGTCTATAAACTATGATTTGACTCAGGCCCTTTGGCTCACCTGAGCGAGTATGGTTCACGAATCCACGGTAGTCACTTGCATCATTCCGGAGGTAGCATTCTGGGTACGAACCCTCGTACAGGGTTTCTAAAGAGTAATCAAGAAAATATATGTAGAATGTATGGATGAAAATAAACCCCACCAAGCCTTCCTGGAAGCACATGTGGGAATAAATCAACTCAATTTAAATTTCAAAACACTTGTTTCCATAGAAAACAGAGAAACCATAGGTATTCCCGGCTATTTTAAAAGATTTTTCATTCAAATTCACCAACTCTCTCATTTAATTTCGTCCACGAAAACTTCACACGCTTTTAACAAAAACAATTTAGTCATTTACCTTTCAATTATAAAGTTTGGTCACCATCTTTAGTGACTGGCTCGAGAAACTTCGTCATTACAGATCGAATTCGTCTAAGTTGTTGCAGAATGGCAGCATTCAGAGATCGAATTCGTCTTATATAAATCAATTAGACGAATTCGATTTCTGAATAACACGATTCGGCGTAGACCATGTGCTCATTGTTGGAATTTGTTTGGACTAAATTTGAAATTGTCTGACAGACGAAATTAAACATTGCAAGTGCACTAAATCGATGTTGCCGGACGAATTTGAATATAAGAATCGGTGAATTCGAACGAAAAATGTTTAAAAATAACCGGGAAACCATAATAGAATAAATCCTGATTAGATGGAGGCATGATCATGAGAATAATTATTTGAGCCTTTTGGACGAGGGTAATAATAGATTGATGGACAGAAAGCCGTAGTCCTATAACCACCTGAAATCAAATGTCTATTTCTTTACCTTCGTTCTCATCGAAGTCTCTTCCTTGGCACGTGTCGCACGGAAGACCCACATCGCAGTACTCCCAAAGCACGTCGGGATCGGTGGTATAGCACCAGGGTTGACGCCGATTGGATATCCTGATATGCAAAGTAGAGAGAGTCGATGCTGATTGGACAGTGCTCAATATGCAAAGTGAACCAATCAACAAATGAAAGTCGGTTTACCAAGCGAATTGTCATGCGATGTATATTGTCTCAGCAATGTTCTCCAGCAACTTCTTGAAACTACGCCTAGGCTTTGGCCAAAGTGGCAGATACCCTCCAATGAAAACACTGAATTAGGAAACTTTTGAAATTAACTTTAGTAATGTTTGATTGTCTTACTGTTGGCCATCCTTCTGATATCCGCTGTTCCGGCAGTAGTTGTGGTCACCGAATCGCAGTGAGTCGCTAGACGGCTTGTATTTGTTTTTGCGTTTGTGTGGGTAGTCAATGTTCCACATCTGGCAGGTTCGACCGTTGACCGTCACGCTTACATGACCCAGGTAGTCCGAGCCGAAGCGGTCCTCGTAACACTCGGGATTCGTGCCGTCACAAACGTATTCTCCTAATAATTTTTAAAAATATAAATTACGGAATAAATAAATGCGAGGAGCCTATACCAAGTGAACTATCCAGTTTTATGTCAGTGGTCACCCGATTGCTCAATATTTCTTTGTTTGTGGCGCCGTAGTCAGAGGCAATGCACCATTATTATGTGGACACCTTATAGCGTTCACATTCAGAGCCACGATTCTATACTAACAGCAAATTTAAAAATAAAAATTGGAGTTGACAGTTGAGGATATAGGTCTGGATTGTTCGTTGATAGAACACAAAGACGGTGTACTGGAAGTCTGGTTCAAATCGCGCTCCAGTCAGTTTCCTTTCTCAACCTAAACCTCCTTTATAAGACTTGAAAAAAGTCCATTTCCCTTTGTGCTTTATTTAAAGATTTGTTGATGAGCAACAAGTACATCGTATAACTCTCATTCTTTTAGAGTAAAATAAAAATCGGTCCTGTTAGTGTTTAGTAAACACGGTATCATCTTACCCACATCGTCAGGACTGTGGTCAGGTTCGCACTTGTCTTGGAACTCTCCCACGTCGCAATACTCCCAGGAACCCGCCGGACCGTCGACGTAGCACCACGCCGTCCAACGCTTCCCACCGTCGGTGCTTCGCTCGGCCGTGTTACGGCAGTAGTTGGCGTCGTCGCCGAACAATTCACTGGAAATAATAAGTGTCATGGTATGATATGAAAGCACCAGTGACTGTTAGAAGTTGGTATTATTCCGATATGCAACGCTGATCGACATGGGCACAGCCTTAGCATAGCCCAAGTACACTACGCTGAGGAAATGCTTTGCCCGCGCATGGCAATCCGCTACGCAAACGGCTGGCGCGAACCTTTGTTAATATAATAGGTTCAGGTACATAAACATTTGTTTTTTTTTCTGTTTTGGATTAAAACAGTGGAATTTAAAGTCCATCAACGGCAGCTTTCGTAATGCCTTATTGTCCAAAGATAGTTATGTAAGTGTACAGAGATTTGTTTTTAAGAGCAAGGACAAAATAACCTAAACCAGCACACAGAGTTTCGAAAGAAGTATACCGGCATTGTGCCGACAACGCGGCAAACCGGGAGGCTGGCTGGACTTAGCCAAGGGCCTGGACCTAGCCCAGGCTGGAAACCGTTTTGTTACAAATAAGAGAGTCCGCAAGGGACAGGCTAAACCGTACCTGTAGAATGGATCGACTCCCTCAGAGTCCCATCTACGACAGGTCTTGCCGCTGCAGGTCTGGCTGACCACACCGCGGTAGTCTGCCGCGTCCGGCCGAGTGAAACACTCGTCCCCGCCTCCAATGAACTCCCCGTCTGAAACATGGGGGAAATTATCAAAAAATTAATGTCTACGTCAAAAAAGTCACGACGTTAGGATCTGGGAATAACAATGATGATAAACCATCAAATGGACGAAGGGCTTACATGTATATGTTTCGATGACTGCGTGGAGGATGATGGAAAAAATGCCAAAAAGTTTTTTTACAAATCGGATGTGGGAAAATTTGTTTTAAAAGTTTTCAAAAGGAGGGCCACCGTTGATTCTCTCTTTGGAACGTAAAAGTTGCAATAAGCATTTATGTTTGAATAAATATTGATTTTCGAAAATATCTTACCAACAACTGCTTTACAAAGAGTCAATACAAATGCGTCTAATGCAATTTTGTGTGCAAATTCTATTACTAACCACAGCTTAAATAATGTATGCCCTTGTGGCAGCCCATACAAAATTCCACTCAATGTTTACTAACGCATGACAGGTTTATACCGTTGTCAGAGGCCACGGAGAGCGGCCCATCGGGCTGGAAGGATGACAGAGAGCTGAAGGAACTGTCGATGATCTCCGTGGTGGTCGGTGGTGGTGGGGGCTGGGTGGTCGGTGGTGGAGGGGGCTGGGTAGTCGGCGGTGGAGGGGGCTGGGTAGTCGGCGTTGGAGGGGGCTGGGTAGTCGGCGGTGGAGGGGGCTGGGTGGTCGGCGGTGGTGGGGGCTGGGTAGTCGGCGGTGGTGGGGGCTGGGTAGTCGGCGGTGGAGGGGGTGCCGTTGTTGAGGGCGATGGGGGAGCGGTGGGACAGTCGAAGTCGATGTGGAGTGTATAGTACAAGACAACTGCATGTACAATGTACGAACGAAAAGGCAAAGTGATTATGTATTTTTGTGAATCAGACAGCATTAAAATTGAAGTTTAACACTGTTTTACTAAGACAGCTCATCTATAGTTCGCTGACTTTATTAACCAATGATATTTGCCTTTTTGTTTCAATTAGGGAGTTTGCCTTTTTTGTTTCAATTGGGGAGTTTGCCTTTTTTGTTTCAATAAGGGAGTTGGCCTTTTTTGTTTCAATTAGGGAGTTTGCCTTTTTTGTTTCAATTAGGGAGTTTGCCTATTTTGTTTCAATTTTCGGTAAGAAATTAACAGATAAAGGCGAACGGTTTTAAATCGTGAGATTTGTTGTCGCTGAATTAAGCTAGGTGACAATACAAATTAATTTGGATTGAGCGGTGAATTCTCGAGTTTCAATACAGAGTGGATTTTGGGGAGAGAAAATAAAACAAAACGTACCTTTGGCTTCTTCGATGGCTTCAGCTGTCAAAAATAAAATACAGCAATGTTAGTGCAGTAGCAGTTCCTTTATAAAGTTGTTAATGATTATCTTAGCATTATCACAATTTAATAACAGTTTGCACTATAAATCAGAAAATTACTCTTTCCATGCAAATATTATTCAGTAGAAATGAAAGTGGCGACAACTAAATTGCTTACCTAACTCATCGCACACAATGCCTGGAAAGATAAACAAAACATAACGACATTTTTGTAATAATTTTGATTTCTCAAATACAAACAAGAAAATACTGAACATAGAACTAACAATCTGTCAAATCCAAATCGTCGCACGCTAATTGACCAATGGCACACTATTTCTGAGAATTTTTAAATCCGCTGAAAAATTCTCAGATTTACAGACCGAGTATATTCGTTTTTACTGTTTCAGTAACTTACCGACGGGCGGAGGGAGTTCGAAATCATGTCCGCCGATTTCTAGATCTTTAAAAAGAAACAGAAAAAAATGGTGCATGATGCTGGGCAAGTCTGCACATTTCTATTATATTCTTATACATGTATGTGCGATACCTTCACGCATAGGAATGATTAACACATTGTTTTATATGTAACGAATTTTAAATAAATTAAACAGATATTCAGGTTTGAATGCATATTATGCGAACTGTAATATATAAACAGTTTTTACAATACGGTTCCATTAATTTTTTAGGAACACGGGAATTCTCCTGAGCATCGAATCCTTTCCAAGCTTCCCTGCGCTTTGAAAAAATAAGAAGAATCATTCACAAATGCAGTCCGAAAAGGTTGTTTATTTCTAGATGCAAAGCTAATGAACCAAATTATGATTTATAGCTTTTTTTTTGGGGGGGGGAGAAATAATGAAACTTGAAACTTTTTTACCGCCAAATCCAGCGTTGCAGGAGAGCAGGCAGCTCAGCACCACTGCAACGAAGTAACGTCTAGGCACCATTCTTCAGAGACAGAGCAGTGGTAAATAGGAAGAATAAAACTAAGAATCAAAAACTGTGACAATCTTTCAGTTAACTATCTACAATTCTGCTAAATAAGTTGAGTGGCTACAGTATGGCTTACTTGTTAGGTTTTCCAGGACAAACCGTTGGTGTCAACCATCGACGTTGAAAATGGTGAAGTCGACATTCGGGGACCTTTATAAGTCCCCCGCTTGCGGACTTAGAAATATTTGTCCACCTGGTACTTCCCTTGCTCTTGTTTGAAGACACAAAATTATTACTTGGACTGGAGACAAACGTCAATTTCAACCATCTTTATCAAGGATTTGTCAGTTAAACTCTGACGTTTGACTGACAGAATATTTTTTTTCGAATAAATACGCAGAACGAGACTCGATAAAATCAATAAATTCGACTTAACGAAAATTATAACTGTCTGTGCACATTTTAGGCTACACAACTTTACGGTTTAAAGAAATAAAACGAGTCTATATAATCATTCCCTACCCTGAAAAAATGTGTCTAATTAGTTTTAATTTCATTCACATCAATGATATTTTTTCTCAGCTGTTGCACTTAATTAATTTGTATTGATCACTAGCTTCAACGGCACAGCTGGGTCGATGATTTCAATTTATTTAACTTTTTGAAAAGTAGTCAGTTGCTCTATTTTGTTTACATTCCCTGACTGATAGATGTCAATCAGTTATTGCTATACAATCACCTCTCTCAGGGTTTGGTTTGTTGAATTGATTTTTTTGTATACCTCAATTTTATGATTGGCAATTTGCCTACTTGTACACAGTACATGCAGCCCCGTCGCCAGCTCCGGGCATATAGGGGGGCCACAGTACAAACTAGGGGGCACACCGTACCACAAGACAATCACACTTATGTATAATTTTTATTTTATGTTTTTTTGCCGATGGGGTGGGGGGGGGGGGGCCCAGGGCCAAACGGGCTTGAGTACATGTCCGTACTAGTACTAACGCAGAAAATGTAGTCCGTTCGACTGTGGCAAGTCTAGCCTAGCTGGGCAACCATAAACAATATGGAATGTCGGACACTTCGCCCCATTTCCACGTCGCCCCATGTCACTTCGCCCCTAACCACTTCGCCCCATCCCCACTTCGCCCCATTCCCACTTCGCCCCATCCCCACTTCGCCCCATTCCCACTTCGCCCCATTCCCACTTCGCCCCATCCCCACTTCGCCCCATCCCCACTTCGCCCCAGCCGTTACAATACATGTAAAAAAAAAAATAATCTCATCTATTTTTTTTGGCTGAAAAACTATTTCAATAGATTCACTAATTGCTAACCAACGGAAAGAATTAGCCCATCACCAAATGAACAATTCATAACCAACCTCTCTAGCTAGGCTCTCCCCTACCGAGAAAAAAGCTTGAAGTAAAAGATCCAACTTTGTTCCCAACCCGGCTATACCAACCCGTCTCCCACTTATCTGAGAACGACAATACCTTTGACATCCTAATTTCACTCTTGGAGGAACCAATCTCATCTAAATGAAGTTGTAAGTGTCACATATCAGACAAATTTCGACGGAACATTTTTTTATCAAGGCAGTGAGTTCCTTTTAACTCACTGACCCATACCTACGGATTCTTTTGAATCCAGCGGCTGATGATTTTATTTACAAGCCAATAGGAGAGGCATCTCTGAATGGGATAGAGCCATCATTTCTCTCATCTGTGTCTCGAGCACCTCATCAGAGAATTTGTATTTTTCCTAAGTTTCTAGAATTGGGAGCATTTATTATCTGGGGTCTTTGGCAGTTTATTTGGTCTGCGCCCCTAGCCTTCACCTTTTTCATACTACATGGGGCGAAGTGGGGATGAAGCGGGGATGGGGCGAAGTGGGGATGGGGCGAAGCGGAGATGGGGCGATGTGGGGATGGGGCGAAGTGGGGATGGGGCGAAGTGGTTAGGGGCGAAGTGACATGGGGCGACGTGGAAATGGGGCGAAGCGTCCGACACCCAACAATATGGCCGCCGACTCGGACAACCGATCGCGGATAAGTTTTGAGATGTTCACGTTGTTTTTCTTGTACTTGTAGCCTCATTTTCAGTTAAAAACCGGTTCATGTGGCAAAACAGAAAGTACGTAATTTGAATCCACTTGGTAAAAGTACAAACATGAAGAATTTCATATTTTGAAAATGAATTTATTCTAGTAGGCCTGGGTGCCCAGTTTCCGGACTAATGAACATCATGCAAATTGCAATATACAGTTAGCCCAAACGGAATGCCTCTGGCCGGCCATACTCTACTATCACAAGCTATCCGATTCGTTAGTGAAAACGTCATACACGCGCGCGCAGCACTGATTACTAGCGCCCATTGGCTACAAACGCTCGAGCTGCGTTAACTTCCGGTTCCGATCATGCAGAAAGTGCTGGAGGTGACGTCACACTAACGAACCGGATGTCTACAGAGCTTGGTAGTAGAGTACGGCCAGAGGCATTCGGACTAGCAGCAGTAGTAGTACTACTACTAGTAGCACTATAGTCTAGTAGTACTAGTATGTCATGTATGTGAAGTTTGTATTGTGTAGTTAACTTGAATAGTTTATAATTAATTCAATAGGCCTAACTGAAAGTCATTTACTCTTTCACAGAAACAAACAGTAACATAAATGGCTTGGAGAGCGTTGACCTGTGACCTTTGATATGGACGGCCCCATTATGAGTGAGGTGCATGAGGCCGCTGCAGCAGGGGACAGCGAGCAGATCCTGAACTTGTTGAATCTTGGGAAGTATGATGTCAACCAGAAAGATGCTGAGTGGCACGATAGAACACCGCTGCATTGGGCTGCAATCAAAGGTGAAAAAGCTTTTAAAATGCTATTTTTGACTCTTTTCTGTAGATCTTACCTTAGGCCTACTGCATCATTGCATGTTTTTAAATTTATCAATACAAAACTTGCACTGATTTCTATTCAAAACACATAGACCTAAAAAAATAGGCATAATCATGGAGTCTGAGTTTTTTTTGGGGGGAGGGGGTTGGTGGTGTTTTATTTTCATTTTTTGTGGTCTTTTTCTGTAAATCATGAACATTAATTTCAATTTCAAAAGGTATTAGGCTATTTGGTGGAACTTTACAAATTTTTCCTGATGATTTGAAGTATTTTATTCCTGCTGTATTATGGCAGGTCATGCCGAGAGTATCCGTGTCCTTGTAGACTACGGTGCTAATGTTGATGCTGTCACAGACAGTGGCTGGACGCCAGCGCATTTCGCAGCAGAGATTGGCAAGATTAGTGCCCTCAAGGCCCTGCATAAGCTTGGAGCTAATGTTGAGATTCAGGACAGCTGCGGTGATACGCCGAGGGACGTAGCCACTGTCTATGGGCAGACGGAATGCGTGGAGTTCCTCAAATTGTGAGTACATGTATACCAAGTATTTTAATAGTGGTTTTGTCCTTCAATGGTGGAAATTTCAACCCACTAATTAGTACCTGTGCTACATTGTATAACATTGTGTATTTTCACTGAATAATCAATAAAACAGTAGAGGGCGGTTTCAGGCCCTACAGTGACTAAAGGGTTAGACACTCTACATACTCAGTGCTGTCGAAGAGCTTGCAAGAAAAATATCACAAGCTGACTCAGATGGAAACCCACGACCTGCTTACTATGCAGCTGAAATGGCAGCATTGTGTAGACTTTCCAAGGAATGGGCTCCACTAAACATCTTGTGGTTTATGTCTTTCATCGCTACGCAGGGCGGAGTACGAAGACAGGATACAGAGGGAGAGGGACAAACAAGAAAAGCTGGAGCGAGAAGAAAGAGAAAGACAAGATGAGGAGAAGAGGAGACGGGAGGAGGAACTGAGGATGCAGCGGAAACAGGAGGCGGAGAAACGAGCCAAGGAGAAGGGCAAAGAGAAGGGCAAGAAAGGTGGAGGGAACAATGGTGGCAAGGGGAGGAACTTGGCCAGCGTGGGAAAAGCTATCTTGCTTATGGGTGGCAAGTAGCATGGCAAGAAAGGCGGAGGAAACAATGGTGGCAAGGGGAGGAACTTGGCCAGCGTGGGCAAAGCCATCTTGCTTATGGGTGGCAAGTAGCATGGCAAGAAAGGCGGAGGGAACAATGGTGGCAAGGGGAGGAACTTGGCCAGCGTGGGCAAAGCCATCTTGCTTATGGGTGGCAAGTAGCATGGCAAGAAAGGCGGAGGAAACAATGGTGGCAAGGGGAGGAACTTGGCCAGCGTGGGCAAAGCCATCTTGCTGATGGGTGGCAAGTAGCATGGCAAGAAAGGCGGAGGGAACAATGGTGGCAAGGGGAGGAACTTGGCCAGCGTGGGCAAAGCCATCTTGCTGATGGGTGGCAAGTAGCACAGAACTATTCTACCAATGTTGAAGGCATGAAAAGTTTGTAGTTGCAATTCAGTCATGAAGGCATGGCCTCAATGACTGTGCTACATGAGAGATTTACAAAACAGAGAAGAGGTGGCCCAAATCATACAGTGCATTCTTGGAGAAATGAGACGTCCTGTTTTAGTCTTTGGCAAAATGGTATTCATTTTTCTTTAGGGAAAGGCGGGTGGGTGGGGTGGGGTGGGGTGGGGGCATAACCCCACCCCACTCCATATTGTCCAGTGTCAATGTGCACAGCTGTTTAGAAGTACGTTATTCATTGTTATCATTCTCATTGTATTTAAATTTAAATTTGTTTAAATAATTATGTACATGTATTAAGTACACAAAAGCCATCCTTGGAATTTCGTCCATTAAATACATGCACATGTATAGCGAATACTTTTGTAGATTAATGTGTGCTGATGTCGGGATAGTTTTGTAAGAGATACTTTCGATACATTCAGAATTATAAACTTTGTAGGAAATAAAAGTAGTGTGTAGAAGATTTTGAATATATTTTAAAAAGTAGAGTTGTTTGTATCATAAAAAAGAGAAAAAACATTGTTTGTTGAAAATCTATGATAAAGGCAAATAAATAACTACAGTAAACAAAGTAGATTTATTGTCTTAATTTTTAGGAAAGCTTCCTTCTTTTATTACACATGTAAAGACACTGTATTTCATGTGCGGCTATCAATACGCCAAATATATTAAATCAATATATTTAATTCGCTTCAGCACCAGTTCTCTGGGTACATTAAATGACTTCCATAATCAACTATAGATACTTTGGCGCAGTTAGGCAAATTCTTGTCGTTCTATTTTGTGAAATATTTGTGCACTTTACCCTCTGCCGATTGATTAAATACGCATAGCTCATTGTAAGGATTCGTTGAGCTTATTAATAGAGGAAAAATATAGACAAAAAGGAAAATTAAACAAAACCCAACCGCAAAAAGGCTTTGACAAAATAAAACTGCATTTAAAATGGAGAGGAACAAAATAAATGACAAACAATAAAAATCAACAGAAAAAAAGTGTGGCATGTAATATGCCTTTTATACAATAATCACCACAAGTTATCAATCTGAAGTCCATTTAATGGATTGAAATAGATCATTATTTTTGACATTTCAATGCCTTTTAAATTTCATTGCCCGAGGACGGACAAGTATTGCATTTCTGGAAGAAAACAACTGTAAAGGATCCAGTAAAAACATCATTTTTTTTTTGTCAACCCCAGTTTTGTCTCGAACTTTAGTTTACCTCACGCTCAAGAGCCAAAATTTAAATGGTTAAACGGTTCTTTGATGTTTAAATGAGGCAGAGTTTTAAATTAATTAATCAAAAATAAGGTTTATGGCAAATTCAGTGTCTCAATTTAACCCTTTGGTGTACAGACTGTTTGGATTAGATGCACAGATTATATTTATTTATTTTGTAATATTTTTTTTTGGGGGGGGGGGGCAGTTGCGAGCAACCGCCCTGTGCATCAAGGGGTTCATATAAATACAATCTGGCACAGGTGGCAGAAAACCCTACTTTATGCACCCATTGCAGCAAGTCAAAGATTACAGAGCATTCCACTGCAGATTAACGGGAGCCAATGCTTCAGGGAGATTGAGCAGATTCTCTGGGTCCAACTTTCAAGTTCTGTTTCAGCTACCTCTTGATCTGAAAATGAAAATTGATAACGCAGACAAAATCTGAGGAATATTCATGAATAAGTTAATATATAGGAATGCATTGTCAAATGCCGGAAGAAAGCTAGAGACAAGAAATTGAAGCAACATTCAGTTTTAGAGGCGGACGGAAAACCGTGATATTCACACGAAAGCAACTTCAAGGCAGAGAATGAAAACAAGTCGACCAGGTTGGGATTCGAACCCTGGTCAAGAAAATACAACAATGTACCACTCTTGCAACCTGATTCCCATGTATATATCAAACCCATGTCAAAGGTTGCACCCCCATCAAAGATATTAATAAATTGACTGAAGTCACTCTGAATCTGTCTCCAAGGACCACCATGCTTACCTCTGTGACGACTCCTGCACCGATGGTAGACCCACTGTAACGAAGCATAAACCGGCCCAAGTCCTTGAAGTCTTTATACAGCTCCAGACAGACTGGCCGGCTGGTCTCTATGTCTATGATGGCATTGCTCTGCTTCGTCAGACACCTGTTAGCAAGGTAATACAGGGATATAACAATTCAGGGCTCAGTGGTTAGGGATGGCCAAGTTAATCACTTTGTAACCAACAATCCAGACACAAAACGTCGACTTGAAAAAAGATCAACTACAGCAGCTATTCGAAACAACACCAGAGTCTCGTCAATGGAAAATTAATACATGATGTTCGTCTGTCTAAAAGGAAACATATTATGGTCAACCTGACTGTCTCCTTAATCTATTGGGTTTGGTACGACACTTGACCATGTCTGAAATGGGCGTAAAAGAATATGCGCGAGACTTTAGAGATAAAGATCTAGAGCTATGGATGCAGAATATAGAATCCAGAGTTTAGGATCCAGGGGTAAGGATCCAGAGGTAAGGTCTCTAGCTACGGATCGACAGCTAAGGATCTCTATTTAAGTTTGGTAGGTCAGTTGAGACTGGCAAGACATCAAATTGCTGCACCTGTCTGGAGTCTACTGAGAGAGACAATAAGACTGAATGACTGACAAACAGTCAGGCAGACACACTTACTTTGGCCTCTTCTGTAGGACTTCCCCGGTACTCTTATGTAGTGTACTGATTAATTTACAGATAATGGCTGGTTCACTGACAGTCTGGTAGTGTAGCAACACCTGCACTCACAAAAAACAAAAAACAAATTGTCCAAATGCCACATTTCAAAAGTAAGACCACATTTTGTTTTGTTTTGGTGTTCTGGATAACATCGGGGTTTAATAGTCCAACTTACTGGGAAGCCTTTGGTGACTGGTACATCCAAGTTGAACATGATGACTCTGGCTCGGAAGCGACTAGCGACTGGGATTGGATGGTCTACACTACACATTACACTGCCAACACTGTAGGAGAAAGTAGTAAGAAGGTCAAGTTGGGGAGACAGCGCAAACATTCATGCGTGATTGTAGTTTATACAACACCTGAATAAATCCCCGTCATCTGATTGGTGAATTGTAGATCACGTGACATATTATTATTCGGTATAATGCACGGTGCGACCATGCGTTATACCCATGCGTTATACCGTTTCACTTTGCGCTTGTTCCATGACGCGGTATTTGCGTGCAAAATGCATGCTGGTGTGCGCGTTCAGCGTAGCGCGTATTGTTCCAAAGAGCCAGCGCTACAGCGTTGGGTTCAAACATTTTCGTGAAGGGGTAGTTCAGCATCTTTAAAATCAAAATAAATTGTAGTTTATAATTTACCAATCAAATGACGAGAATTTATTCAGGTTTTGTATAAAACAAATAACGAATGTTTTACGTTCGTGCGATGGAAAGAATAATTTCATTCGGTGACAGATTGAATGTTCTATTCCACTCGGCTTCGCCTCGTGGAATAGAACATTCAATCTGTCACCTCATGAAATTATTCTTACCATCGCACTCACAAACATTCGTTATTTGTATAATAACATATTGGGCTCTGATTAGAAGAAAAGCCTTTGCCTCAACGACGACTTTTCGTTCAACTTGATGTATATTGTCCTACACTGAATTATCTACCCTTTATTTCTTATGAGCTGAAATAACAAACACAAATGCATTTGGATGCCTCAGAACTAAAAAAAACTTCAGACAAGGAGCTTTGCGTTTTACTTGCAAGTATTCATTAAACACAAAGGACTGTGGAGTCCCTATTCCCTCGTGCAGAGTTGTGAAGTGTTTGTTCTCTTCACCATTGAGAAGGTTCTTGTGCTTGTCCATTGGGCCCATTGTTGGGATACTTCGGGAAACAAACATTTGCCCATGACTCACCCAATGTTGCCTTGATCTATGCCGGTTACCACCACTGTTGCATGGTCCCCTGCACAGGCCCATTTGGTCTCCTCCTCATGGATGTAGATACCTTCCAATACAAAATATTGTACAAAAAAACTCTCATGAAACACCCGTTGAGAATTCAAGCGAACAATATACACTAGTTCCCTTTTTTTAAGAAGATATTTGTTCACATGAGAACAACCAATCCCTAAACTGGACCAAAAGGGAAAACAGTAATGCATTTTCTTTTTACAAACATGAAAATGAAAGACAGATATTCAGGAAGTTTTAAAAAGTGGTGTCCCTTAAGCAAGACATTGACTAACTTGAAGGCTAGGAACATATGGCTGGAAAGCTCAGTTTGATGAGCTAGAGTACGATGCTCTGAAGGTTGCAACTTTAAACCCAGCTCAAGTCAATTGCTTTGCTCAGCCTCATAAATACTGACATAAACAATGGTCCCACCTCGCACTTGTCCATGTTCAGCTGTTGGCATGATGACAACTCTGTCTCCAACTTGCACACCGCCCGATTCTATCTTCCCAGCGATGCTGATACCTGCACCCATACCTTAAAAATAAAAGGTTTTACAAAAAATAGTGATCAGATAAGTGAAAATACAGTTTTGTATTATTAGGATGTAAGGAATTTACCGTATGTTATCTAATCTGCAATTTCTCCAAGCGTTTATGAAACCATTACTGAATGGACTATAACACAATACACAGACTGCTTACATTATTTGTTTTCATGTAAACTGGCAAATTGTTTTGAATTTTCAGACTCTTTCGGCCATCTTTGAATCATACCTTTGAAGACATCAGATACGCACTGTCTGTAAGCCTTGTGAATGGGTCTCTTAGGAGATTTCAAACCGTCTGAAAATGAAACCGAAAAAAGAGATCCACTTTGTAAAATAAAGTTTGACGAAGCAGCTAAAACAGAAAACTTGGGTCAGTGAAAGCAAGGAATCTAAACAAACTTTATAAATCATGCAGAAGTGTTGAGCTAATTGTAGTGGAGATGTTTCTGGACTCATAATCAGAGTAGTCGCAAGTGCTGCTTTCTGTAATTTCTAGCTGAATTTGTATGCTTTTTAGGGTGGATAATAAACTTGAATTTGAATTTGAATATACTTTAACACTTTCTACCTGTCAGTGTGTCAGTCTTGTTTTCATATTTGAGGGGCTTAATGGGGAATGGGGCACATTTTTTCAACTACATTGACGGGATTGGCAGAGATACGCAATGCGAAATTGAGGAGCTTCCACACATGATGAGGGATGAAGACACCTGGCGTGGCGTTGTGAATGGGATCTCGGTTGTGACCGCTAGATGATGATGATGATGATCTTGTTTTCCACTGTCACATGATCAAAGCCTTACCTATTGTATCAACTAGGGATGGTCCGTTGTACCATTTAGTCAGAGCTGGTTCTTTGGCCTTGTCCTTCAGGTTTTCACCCGTCAGCCCGCTGCAGGGAATGTACTGAACATCCGATTCCTGTCCAGATTGGAATAGAACTTTCAATCAAGTGATGCAGAAATCCAAGAAAGTTGTTAAAACTTTATTGTCCTTTTGTCCCAACCTAGCTCCCATAAGACTGTGGGCATTTACAGAAGGTCATAACAAGCCAACCTCCACTCACCTTAAACCCTGCCTGTTTTAGGAATTGTCCCAGCTTCCCCACGATCTCGTTGAACCGTTCTTCTGACCAGCCTACCGTGTCCAGTTTATTGATAGCCACAGCCAGCTGAGTGACCCCTAGTGACCTCACCAGGAGGGCGTGTTCTCTGGTCTGACCACCCGAGTCAAAGCCCGTCTCAAATTCCCCTCTAGTGGCGTCTACCACCAAGATCGCCACGTCGGCCTGCCGAGAAAACATTCAATGCAGATGAAGTCAAGTAACCTTCTCTTCAATATTTGGAGGCATTTTTATAATATTACTTTGTTAAACCTCCCCCCCCTAAACAAGGTGCGTCTTAGTACCTGTGCAGCTCCTGTGATCATGTTGGGGATGAAGTCTTTATGACCCGGTGCATCTAGGAGAGTTACTGTTCTGTTAGGAGTCTCAAAATTGGTTAAGCCTACGTCCATGGTGATTCCCCTACAATAAAAAGACAAAAACACAATTGAAATAAAAAAGTAAAGTGTATCAATTCGTAAGATGGAATTTGCATCGGGGTGATGCAAATTCAATATTGGGTTATGCCCTTCAACGACGTATTTTATAAATACTGTATACTCAGTGTTGCCCCCGAATGATTGCGAGAAAAGAGCCTGATTACATTGTACGCATATCAACGGCCCACTAGAAATACCACTTAGGAACACATGTTTCTCTAAATAGAACAGGTTGAAAACAGGTGTTCCTTACATAATTGACAGGCATGCAACTGGGAATTAAAAAAATGAGGACATTCCAAACCACACAAGATTTTCTACAGTATTTTGCAATTTGTAATGGCATTCCTGAGAAGTCAAAAACAAGAAAATCAGCGGATCCGAGGAAAAGTTGCACGCCTAAATTGAATGCTCACTCAGGTTTCAGTTGAGAACACTGCTTGTTCATACTGGGATATAAATTGGGACCTGACATCATATATGAAGACAGGCAATGCCCTCAAGGCTTCTGAAATTGTGTTGCTTTGCTGTATCTGTTCAACTTACACAGTGATGCAAAGCACACCAACCTTTGCCTCTCCTCTCCCGTCTCATCCAGCACCCAGGCATAAGCAAAGGATGCCTTGCCTTGCTTCTTGGATTCCTGCTCATACTTGTGCATCTGTCTCTGGTTCACCTGAGGTTAGAGGTCAGAAAGGTCAGAGGTTATCCAACCGACCTGCTCAATGGACATGAACTCACTCGTGTGTGTGGTCATTGTCATGCAAGAAAAGACGCGCCACTAATTTACTTTTTTGGTCCACCAATCAGTAAACTACCCACAAGATACGTTTTGATACTCTAGACAACAAGACATGGAATTTCAGTTTTTAAACTCAGAAATGAATCAGTAACTTGAACAGAGACTAATTGAATGTCAAAGGTCAAACTAGCTTACCCTGTAGTAATACTTTGACAGTGGTATTATTCTTACCTGTCCTAGTAGATATAATAAATGCCCCATTAATGTTGACTTGCCAGCGTCCACATGGCCTATCACCACCAGGTTTATGAGTTGCTTGCCTTCCTGTCGTTTGGAGTACTCTTTGGATATGTCAATAGTCTGCAAATAGAAAACATTAATCAAACTTGACTTTGGTCAAGTGTTATATTTTTTTACATTATACATAGACATGTACAGTGGAAATTTGACTCTTTTTGGCAGAAAGCAAAACGTGTCAATGCACACTTGTGCATATTCATGTGAAATTTGTGCATACCTAATCATTACTTATATTTCTTACAAATTTAATTAGTTTTGGACTTTCGAACATGATTTGGGGTATACGGGTATATGTTTATTTCCTACCCCGGCCTTAGACGTCTTGGATTCCCTCCGTGTTGATGCCAAGGCACCAGGTAGTACCGCTGACGACCCTGCCATGACAGTCAAGTCTGGAGCACTCATCACGGTAGGAAGCTTGCCTCTGGATTCACTGAGGTCAAAAAGGAAAACGAAATACAACTGGAGGCAACAGCAAACTAGATGACAAGAAATCTCAGTGGATCGAGACTTCAGGTCAAGCTTTGCCAAGCACATGAATTTGCTGAGCATAAAATACAGGTAACCAGCCAAAATGTCATGCACTTTATGCTGCTTAGGAGTGGTTCCCTGCTGGGTTTCGCTGAACAATATCTGCTGCTTAGCGAGTTAACAGCTCAATGTAACTGGGCCCTGGTATCACACAGATGATGGCCCTCTGAAATAAATAATGGACAAAACTTGGCAACATTTTTATTACTGTACTAGCTGTTTTACCATGACTTTTGAACAGAATGTCTCAATTTCTCGAACAGCATAATGTTCTTTACTTCTGCCAAGGTTATTTGGATCCAGGAATATAAGTTACCTTTTCATGTTGCCATCTGTCATACCATCCAGGAAATCACCCCTTAATCCTGATTTCCCAACCGCACTCTTCCTCCTCTTGTCTCCGATCTCGGAAGGCAAAGGGACTGGCCCCAGTACGAATCCCTTCCTGGCTCCCTTAGAGGGCATGCTGAGTTTAGCCACCTCAGGGGCGATGGAAGCCACTGCGGGGTCATCTGCGCTTGCTACAGCAGCAGCAGCTGCCGGCAAAGGCCGCTTGGTTCTGCCTGGAGAGGGCTGCTTCTTGGGTGGTTGTGCTGTGGCTCCTAGACCTGGCGGTAAAACATGGCGGGTTATGGATGGTACTGTGGTTAGGGTCAGTCTGGGCAACCACAACCCAACAAGTATACAGTGGAAATAATTGAACCTTACTCTGGCTGTAATTATTAACCAGACAGCACGTCACGCCTATGGAGGATGCAAAACCTGATCAGCAACTTAAGATTCCAAATGGATGGAGTTGGCAGATGAACTTTAATCTACGGCACTTGTACAGAATGAACTGGAAATTTCAAAATTATGTTTGTTTTATTTTCCCCAGCAATTCCTGAAGGGTATCAACCGAAGCTACATCTAGCAAAACCTGTAGCTTTCCATGGGAATCAAATACAAATGTACATGCATGTTTTAACTGGCGACACTTGCTGTTCTCACTGAGAAACAGTCTGGGAACACAAAGTGATTATGGGAACTCTGTCTATGTTTGAACTTATACTTTAAGGAACACGCAGATGTTCCTGTTAGGAAAGCACTGCTTCAAAAGGATTATTCCGAATGGAGGAGGATTGTTCCATACTCTCTTACTTTTGCTATTGGTGTTACCAAATGCTCCCGCCTGCCTCTGTCTTATGATGTCATCAGGAGAAGGAGAGGAGAAATCAAATGGAATGATTTCATCTTCGTGATCCGCTGTGCCTGTGGTCCAAGACTTTTGTCTCTGGTACAAGAACTGCCTGTGCACAGTGGGCCGAGAGTGCTGTCTCTGGACGACGTACGAGGCAATCCTGACCCCTTGCTGATCAGACAGTGCTTTTGATTGGTCAATAAACTCTGTGCATAGTGCCCTTCCAAATACAGAGGGATTAGCCAGCAGACAGTACTTGTCCTGCCTTGCACGCAATTTGTGCAACTTTGACAGAGGTTTCGTATTGTTGTTAGTAGGGTCAAGGGGATATGTAGAGTCATGAGGTTCGGGACTCAGAAGGTCGACTGGAGATGAGCGATCCAGCATCAGTGCAGCCCGGGACTGGAAACCAGGGGGTGTTGGTACCCTAGTCTTGGAGTCACTTCCGACAATACCAGGCAGTGGTTCTTCTGCAGACACAGGCCTAAAACCTGCAGAGTGTTTCAGAGGTAGATGTTTGCATCCCGTTGGGAATGTTGGTCCTTTACTTGAAGCTTGAGTCAGCTGAATTTCAGGATCTGTGAGAATTGTGGTGGAATGTAAGGAGTCTGATGTCTTGGCAGTCCGATCTGACTTTGACATAGCTGGAATGTTTTCAGAAGTTGGTTGGTTGACTTTCGATGACACTGTGGCTGGTGCTTGGTCTTGGACTCCAACAGCAATGGGCTTGGTAGTCAAGGAGCTAGGAAAGCCAAGTGTGGATTTTGTGCCAGGAACTTGGGACAGGTGAGCAGTGGCTAGGCTTGACAGTGAAGAACCAGCTGGCTTTGAGAAATCAGTTTTGGATTTATCATGAGGTCTGCCATCTGCAGAGGACCTGTTTGTGCCAGGGAGGTCCAACTGAGGGGTAGATGACAGGTGTGCTGATGCTAAACTTGACAGTGAAATTCCAGTGTTACCAAGAGAGCTTGCTGGAGGATAATTTATTGCTTCTTGTTGTGGTCCAGGTGGGTTTGATGAAAGCTGGGCTGATGCTAAGCTCGACAAAGATGGTTCACTCCTTGGGCCAAGCCTCAGAGCACCTTGACCAGAGGGTTTCGCAGCTAAGGGAACATTTTGGAGACTGCCTAGACCCAATGATTGGAATGGCTTGGACTGAACTTCAGTTGGGTTTGCAGAGAGATTGGCAGAGGCTAAATCTGAAAGAGAGATCCCTGCAACTGGCTTCAATCCATGACCTCCCTCTGGAAAGCTTCCTTTGGTTGGGGGTTGCCTCGGTGGAGTAGAGCAAAGAGAACGTTGCGGCAATTCAGACAAGGACCGTCCTGACAAAACTCCCCCGCCTGCTGTTCCCTTGGTTTCACCCAAGTGTGACCCAGCAAGCTCAGACAGTGACAGTGACCCCTGACCTTGGGCTATACTACTTCCTCTTGGGGGTGAAGAAAGATGAGCATTGGCCAAAGCGGACAGGGGCAACGAAGACATTGGCAGGACCCCTGCATTTGCTTTGGCTGGGGCTGGAGAAGGGAATAGTTTGGGGGAATGGTGAGCTTCAATAAGATCCGCAAGGGGAAGTTTTGATACTTTTGGAGATGGTTTTTGATGTGGTACCTCTCTGGATTTGATGACATCTGAAAGGGAACCTGAATTCACATTTAAAGCAGAATTTCTGATGGAGTCTTCAGATACTACTTCCTGACCCTTCATTTTTAATAAACCATCAGCTTTCTTTTCAAACTCTCCTCCAACAATTCCTTGTTTCTCTACTGTTAAATCACTAACTCCTTACCTTACCATAGCCAAAGGATGCCGAGCAATGCATGATGGGAAGGGTCGTTGAGGAACGAGGTAGAGATGGCAGGCGAGAAAGGGCCAAGGAGAATTATGAAGGAGAGAAAGGGAGAAAAAGATGGGCATTCTATTAGGTGAATGGTAAAAGCATGCAGGCGCTAACTGTGGAATAGTTGTTCCAATGTTTATGAAATAATTCATTAACTGACCCCTCTCACTGATCTCTATTCTACAGCATAATAATAGCAAGGCTGACAGTTTTGAAACAAAACTAAATGGGAATTTTCTGTACCTTCAAAAAGTTCTACTTATCAGAGATTTTGAAGTGAGTTATTTCCATGACCACTGGAATACTGACCAATGAAAGAGGAGAATATGCTCATAAATATGCATGAGGTATAATAATACACTATATTTCCAACCAGGTGCAATGATGCCAGAGCTCTACTCACCTCTCTGTGTTTCCATGTTGTTATTATTCCCTGCACTGCTCTCCTGCTGGTCTAGGAGAGCGTTCAGCGTCTTCTCAAAGTTGAAGTGGTGCGTCACGGCCATCTCTATCATGGTGCGCTCAGGAACCGTCTCCCCGACCACATTGCGGACCTCCTCCAGGCAGGACTGGAGCTGAGCTGAGTTGAAAAGAAAGCAAATGAAATTTATACTTAACATTCAGTTCACATTTTTCTTTTCAATTTACAAAAATCTGGGAAACATTTGATGACTTTTAATCCTAGCTGTGGCCAAGGGCTTATTAATTCTGCCCAATTCATGCCCTCAATTGATGAAGAAACATGATCTTGTGGCCTTCCCTTCATTTTTTACAATAAATAAAAATATTGATATATAACATTAAAATGTACGTATACATTGTGTTCTCTGACATTCAATTGAGACATTATGACCAAACTAGCAAGTCAAAATGAAATATAAATTTGTATAAAGATAATGGCAATTCACGGACATTAATTTACAACACGGTTAATAAACAATCCTATACTGGAAATAAAAAAAGAAGAGGAGAAATTTGACTCATCTAACCCTCTTCAATATCCGAGAGTTGTGGTTTCTGGAAGTTGGTGGGATCACTGAGGGACCTCTCAGAGTCTCTTCTGGCCAGATCCGCCTCCTCCTCTCGTTTCAAATCCTCCTCCCCCTCCTCAAGAAAGGATGCCAACTGGTGATGCTGAAGGCTACGTTGGAAGATGAACTGCTCAGCTACAGGAAAGGATGCAAGGATGTATCACATTTTATCCAGGAGAAGGAGAAGCTACAATTATTATCAGGCAAAAATTTGCACAAATCTCTGTTGAATTTCTGGATGACTGCGATGTACATGCATAAGCCTGCAAAACGCAACAAGAGGCGTCAGGTGTGAAACTCTGTTGGACTAAGTTGCATTGAGCAGTCAACACTGGTGCATAAACGGCTGTTTAACCTCAACGATCTCCATCCAGCCAAACCCCAACACAAGGGTTCGGTGGAGTCCAACGGTTTATGTGTGCAGTTGACCATATGGTGTTGGACTTTGCAAGGATGAGAAAGGTTCCTAGTAAATCACTCTAGGGGGTTAGGGTTATAAGGGGCGATGGGAGCTAGACTCATTGAACAATGCCAGTACTGTTAGAATCTAGGTAAGCTAACAGCAACAGACTCTGAGACAATTAGCTTAGTACATGTACTAAACGTAGAGAAGCATTTTGGTTCATTACAAAGAATACCTGTAGATGGAGATACTCCATAATCGTCCTCCACTGAGTGTCCATATACATCATCGTAGCCTTCATAATCTGTTTAAAGTAGTAAGGCAATCAGTGTTTATAACATTAAATTGCCTTTAAAGTTACATGTAGGCTTATGTGGAACTTTTAAGTTTACTGTCGATCATGTCTAAGGACTATCCCAACTACATCATAAAAAACATCTCATCTTGCTGAACCATGAAACACATTAACAATAACATTTTTTATCACTTTCTGAATTAAGCCCTGGTCATGAGTTAGCCATATCATGGTCTAATCCATTTTTTTCTAACTACCGTAATTTTCGGAATATAAGCCGCGCGGAGTACAAGCCGCAGCATGCAAAAATCGTGTAGGCTAATTGCAGAATACCCCGCCACGTGAAAATTACCCCCTAAAAAAAAATGGCTACACAGTCGGAAAATGTTGCAGAAATGTCCAAAGTACATGTAGATGTCGGGAAGTGGATACGCGAATACAATATACAGGGTGGAGTTGAGCGCACTGGAGGGTCTAAAGTCGAGGGTGCTATTTCCCTGTAATAACTTTTAAAAAATAAGTAGGCCTAATCTAGCTGGAGTTACCCAGCCCTGAGTTTTATCATTGGGTTGTTAAGACAACCCAATGATAAAACTCAGGGCTGGGTAACTCCAGCTAGGCCTAATCGTGCTAATACGGCAAGCAGGGACAATGTAAATACTGCAAATGCAATTGTGCCGGAAAACTTCCCCTTAACGTGATTGAGGTAACTTACCCAAGTTGGGATATTAATATAATTTTTAAGCTTAACCCCCCCCCCCCCCCCCCCTGCCACACCCATCCCTTCCCCCTCCGATCTGTCGTAGTGGCACGACGCACGCACGTCGGTCTGTCGGCGGTTCAGTCTGTCAAACATTACACAGCTTTATGTGGGATACATACCCTCCCCATAGTCCATTCCCCGGACATTCCTATGTCTTGACATCTTCGTTTATGTGCTACGCCCTCGCACACTGCAGAAAAATACCTAAAAAGTGAGTTTCTGTACTAAAATGTTTCGAAGAGGAAAGAGCGATGTGGACTTCAGGGCCCATATTGGATGATGCATTGTGGGAGACTGAGTAAACTTGCTTCAAGTCCCATAACATTTTTTGGATTGACGGCATTTACACACCCTGCAGTTGAACATTGAGTTTTACCACGTTGGCGCGCGCAAATACCCGTAATACTGGTGGCAAGTCTATACATGTACGACCGATAAGCGATCGATTGGGGGCTAAAGATCGTCTCGTGAACACAGCAATATTTAGTGGATTTCAAGCATTTTGATGCATCTATTTCGCCGATGGGCTGGATTTGAAGGCTCTGACATTGACTGAGTCATCAGGCTTCTGAAGATGTCAGCTAAGGCAAGTATTGTGAAAAATAAATCGAAACAAATGTTTGTGCAAGTTTCATTTCTACAGTACAGTAAAAAGTAACACTAGCACTACACACAGCGGCATCATAGGCCGGCCGGGGGCGGGCCCGCGGGGGAGGGGGGGGGGGGCTCTCCACATAGCCTATAGTACGGGGGGGGGTTAGATTCCCCCTCCCCTGTTTAACAAAAACTTTATTTATATTAATAATTATTTATTAAATCCTGAGTACTACTCCTACTTGCATGACTTGTCTTGTATGTGATGTATCTCCAAATGTTGGCATGTCATTTTTTTATAGCCTGCCCTAATTACTAATTAGGACCTTGCCCTACCAACAACATTGTTGTATCAAGTATATGATTATTGTCATGACGTATGACTGTGTTAGGCTAAGTGAAAAATGGGGGTGGGGAGGAGATTAATGGCTCTTTGATAAAACAAACAACTGTTTATGTGTTTCCTAATTGCACTGCATTTTTATCACTCTTTGTTTGCGTACAAATAATGCACCTATCAATTGTTTCCACGTAGGTGATGGCTGCTTTAACAATTAAAATGGCTTAAATATTATCCACACAATTAATGTCCCCACATGTATACAAAATGCCATATACCACCATGGAGAATAACAACTACATGGTACCACTTAACAGCCAGTAACAATTAATGTAAATGAGTCCATTACTTACGGTACGTGTACAATGCAATTAAGCAGATGGGCATCTGGAGATGTCATTACACACAAGAGTGCAACCATGAATATTGATGGTAATTAGTAAATGCTGAAAGATCGCTCTGAATGCTGAGAGAAATCTGAAGGCTTTTGAATAATTTGGCCAGATGGCTAGGAGGTTCCAAAACAAGACTGAACTGTGTTTTTAGACTAGGTGTTCCCCTTGCCAATAATAATAATTGATAATAACAGGAATTTATAAAGCCCCTTTGCCGAAGGATTCAAAGTGCTGAAAACAAATCAAGAGAATATGAAACAAATAAAATCAAAATAGGTATGTTTTCAAGAGTCCCTTAAAATGCCAAAATCCTATTGGAATCTTTTTGGAGATAAAAAATATATGTGCAATGTAGGCTGCTTTATATATGCTTTTAAAATTTGCATGTTGTAAAAATCAATAGACAGCAGACACATTACATACATGTGGACAGGATTTCCAAAATGCAATATACGCCATTTTGTTCTCTTTTAGAATCTAGCTCTCTCCTGGCTGCCAAAAAGCAAATCAATGGCTGTCACATGTATAAACATTTTGTACTTAAATACAACTTAAGAATACAATTAGGCAAAATTGAAATTTAGAAACAGCTGTCATTCTGTTTTTATTCTTTAAAGTTTGAAAAAGCCAAAAAAAGGGGGCTGCCTCCTTTTTATTTATTATTTTTTTGAAAAAAAAAAAACCTAAAAAAAAGGATTTATTTTTAAACAGTGACACCTCTTTGTATGTTTCATCTAGCCCATATAAAGCTGGTATGTCATTTTCTGAATCCCCCCCAAAAAGCTGGCAGCCATCTTAAAAATAGCCAGGCCGGTCATTTTGCCAATAAAAAAAGGGCCTCCTCCTTCCTTGTTTTTTCAAAAAGGCAGGATGCTAAACATGATATTTGTTTTTAATTGGCCTAACTGTACAAAATGTTCACCTTTTTCAAATGGATATGTCGCGTTTTTAAAATAAATTCTTCACATGTACACGTGTGCAATGCATTATGTGCATGTACACTTAGTAAATGCCAGGCCGGTCATTCTGCCAAAAAAAAGGGCCTCCTCCTTCCTTGTTTTTTCAAAAAGGCAGGATGAAAACATGATATTTGTTTTTAATTGGCCTAACTGTACAAAATGTTCACCTTTTTCAAATGGATAGTTGCGTTTTGAAAATAAATTCTTCACATGTACATGTGTGCAATGCATTATGTGCATGTACATACATGTATGCATCCCTTAAGGGTGTACAGTATATGTACATGTGTACATGTTCAACCCTACATGCTAACATGTACTTGCCCATGGACTTGTTGACTACTGTGCAACCTGAGATGCCTGCTTGCATTCCACACATTACTGTATGCATGCATCATCCATCATATCAAGACTGCAGCCAAGTCTCAATATCAGATTGCAGACATTGGAGTAGTGAATGCATTCAAATATCTTCTCATAATAAACAACCCCATTTATTCATGTTATTATTGAATGTACCAAAGCATATTTTTTTACAATGTATATATACAATAAGCTGCAAGATCATGGAAGATAAATGTGCAGTTGTGCACACGTTTTTTTTAATTCAAATATTTAATCTGCCTGAAAAATTGAGAACCATGAACTCCCTAGGTACATTGAATCGAAGCTAAAGCCATCCGTTATATGGCGTTAGTCATATCTCTGCCATTTGCGCATATCTACGGAGTTATAAACTTGGTTGCCACGGTAATTTTGGAACCGGATGGGAATTTTGAAGCCAGATGGGAATTTCCCCCTGTTTTTTCCCCCAAAGTTTTTTTTTTGGCTGGTTTTACGCCCATCTCGTAAATCAGCAATAGCCTAATATACTGGAATGTTTAAAACTTAATTGTACATGGATTTATTTGTGTAAAATTATTATAGTACATGTATTTGTAAAAGTATTAAAGTACGGAATCCGTTTCATTGATGTACTGTTTGAATTTTACTTTGCCTAAGTTTAGTTAATAATTCATACATATATGCTGTGCCCCAGTGGAAACCAGTTTTAAACTGTTTGGGGACACCCATGGTAAAGAAATGTAATAAATAGATAAATAAATATATGTATGTGTACATGATGAATGCAGAAAAAAAGTTGTAGTATTGTTTTGTTATTGCTTTCTTAGTGGAAGGAATTGGCTAGAACTCGGCACAATACAATGATGTCCTTGACAAAGATGACCTTGATTATCCAAGCTCCCCTTTATTACAAAAAGAACACAAGTTTACCACAATTTATAGATTGGTCAAATCGCCTGTTCAGGTAGTGTTCATAATTCTAGTCAATGCAGTATCAAGAAATATTTTTTTCTCTGGAGTAAAACAGACTCCTTTACTTAAAAATAGTGACAACTTACCAGGTATGTACTGAATATTTCTGGCAGATAGAGCAGTTGCAGTTACAACTTACAACTGACTTACTATTCAATGTTGTTGTTTTTCCCTGCTCATTAACAGAAGGAGAGCAAATCGGACCAGCAGCTCCACCTAGCTGCTTTGCAGGGCAACCTATCCCTGCTCAGGAGATCATTAGATGGAGGCAAGGTGCATGTAGACTGCAAGGATAAGGTAATCGAAGCCTGCTTTTAGAGTTGGAGCTAAGTTTCTTGAATAGGGATGGCAAAGCAACATCCAGAGCATGCAAGTCTGGAGTAGCAGATCAAAGCATCAGCCGAGACACAAGTAACAGGATGAACAATGACAAAGGAATGTCTTTGCTGACTTGTGATGTCTCCTACATCAGAAGTCCTTCCTCCATCTTGCAAAGTCTGAAGTTTCCCTCTCCCCACGATCATCTGGAAAAGTTTGGTTTCGTCCAGATCATGTTTCAACCAACAAACCCAATCAGGCAACGTAGGGTATCCTCCACAATAATTCCATTCCAACTGCGATCAGCTGCTTTAGTTTCTTAACCGGGAATTTTACTTAATAAACCAAGAAATATCTGGCAGATGTTGACTGTATAAACTGTTAAATTTATTGCAAGAAAGTTACTGTTTTTCCGTAAGATATAGTGTAGCAAAATAGGTCAGGAATGTGAAGTTGTTTACTCAAGTTCACGAGAAAAAAACCTTGGTGCAGCTATAATCATTGGAAGCTGTAAGCCAATAATCTGGAACCTGCCTTATTCTTGTTTGCAGGAGGGCACAACACCTTTAATTCTTGCCGCAGCCAACAACCATCTTCAGTGTGTCAAAGAACTCCTGGAGCAAGGAGCACAGGTGGATGAGAGAAGAAACGTAAGATGCACCCCAAAACATACTTGATACAGCCAGTCAGCCATTATCTATTCCTAGCCCTGCATTCAAAAAAGCATATAACTATTCATAGATAGGTTTTGCCCTTCACCGACGTGAAACAGTATAAATTTGTTTGTAGCCAAACTTCGGTAAACATCAGCACCTGTTGACAGAATTACACATTTATAACACAGCCTCATTCTCTCACTCACTTTTAAACCTTTTTGTTTTTGTTTATTAGACCGGTACCTGCGCCCTGTTCTTTGCAGCCCAAGGAGGTTTCCTAGACATAGTCAAGGAACTACTTGACAAAGGAGCGTCGGTGGACCTACCAAGTCAGGTAGCCAGTTATTTGGTGAAACTGTCTGTACTTGTAAGCATGAGGTCCCTGGTTAGAACCCTGTCGCGGTTCAAAATCAGGAGACACTCCGAAAGGCATGCCAAGGCATGCTGTGAGTTGCAACAATTTTACAGCAACTTGTTTGGCAATCTCCGACGAAAAAAAGAAAGGCAAATTTTATTTCTCTGTGATGGTCTGAAGGACGAAAGAAAACTGTAGGAGAAATGCATTTGTTAGCGTCCTGCCTGTGAAAACGTGACACTGAACCGTTTGTTATTGTATCTGTAGGACGGCGGTACACCACTGTTTGTAGCTTGCCAGTGTAATCACCTAGATGTCGTCAAGGAACTTGTTGCAAGAGGAGCTGATGTACACCGGACTATGAACGTGAGTATTGCAGGATGTACTACAAAGTTCTAGAACTTTACCGTAGTTCTCCCAATTTTTCAATACCAGTGAATGCAGTGATATTTCTGAACCAAGTATACTGCAATGGAACTATGTGTGAAGCAGCTTGCTATTAAAGTAGGGAAATCTTTTTCAAAAATACACAGATAAAAATGTGGTAAAATGTATGTTGAATTTTGCATGTAATTTTGGGAAGCCAATTCATACTCTTCAATTGTTCCCGACTGTCTGTGGTTCAGCAGTGTCTTAAGAGCTTAGCTCTACTTACATCTTGGTGAGAAGTCTGTAAGTGTATAAGTCAGCTCATCAGTGTTTTGATCATTTGGTTGTACAGGATGGTGCGACACCACTCTTCATTGCTTCACAGAACGGTCACTACAACATGCTCAAGTATCTCCTGGAAAGAGATTGCGATGTCAACCAATCAAGATTGGTGAGTATTTCTTGACACCCCTCCCCCTCCCCTCCCCTCCCCCCCCCAAACATCCCCTATCCCAACCCTCCTTCAATCCCCTCCCCTAACAAAGACAAAAGGATAGACAGCGTGTACTCATGGCTTCAAGGCTGTGTAATTCCTTTTTTTTACAAAAGGGTGTTATTAAAAACTGCCTCATCTTTGCTTTCTCAAGGGTCAAAGACTTGCCCTTTTGAACTCTGACACAGGTCAACTTCATTGGAATAATAACACAAACACATTTATGACAGCATTTTACATGTTAATCTCCTCGAAAACTAGGTCAAACAGACTACAAGAAATATAGAATCCCTATAACAAATCCAATTTACAAGCAGTCTAGGTGTGAGGCCATGGCCCGACTTGCATTATCAAAAAATCGACTTCACATTTAAAGTTGGTTGGTTGTTTGATGTTTGTTTACTCAGGACAAGGCCAGCCCCCTGTGGATTGCCGCTCAGATGGGACATGCAGACATCATCAGGGAACTTCTCTCCCACGGTGCTAAGATTGATTCTGCAAGAGAGGTTAGGTGTCTGTCTGTCTGTCCGTCTCATTAACTGTCTTTCTGTGTGTGTTTTTGTCAGATGTCTTCTTGTTCTGTAATGACTCAGATTGCTCGCGTGCTCAAGCTTGACAATACTCAGGGAGGTAGGAACAGATTTTATTGGTCATTCTGTGATGAACTTAAAGAAGTTTTTTGCCCGAAACCCCCATCTCTATCAAGCCTCAATATTGGATGCCATTGAGCTCTTGTGTATGGGCGCCGGAGATTGTATTGAATATTCATTGTTTGATATGAATATTCATGATTTTGTTTGATTGACAGGATGGTGCCACTCCCCTTTTTAAGGCAGCTCATAAGGGACACACTGATTGTGTGTCGGACCTGGTCAGCCATGGTGCTTGTTTAGGATTACTGGAGGTAAGCACTTTCTCAAAACTAGGTCCTGCTTTATTGGAAAACTTTTCCAAGTTTCTCCACTCTTACTCCTACTTTGGGGATGGTTCCTTCAAGAGTTTTGCAAGTTACCTGCTAAACTTGAACACATTTGAGAGGAGTGTGATAATATGAATAATGCTCACATTCTATCATAATAATTCATTCACATTTATTTCCATTTCACAGTTCATAAAATACAACTAAATAGATTAACACTTTGTGTTCAAGCTCCGAAAAAGGCATCAATGTGATTTCGAGGCTTTTTGATGGCAAGTTCCTGGAAAAATTTGCAACATATATTGGGCAGCTTTGCCATTTACATCTGACATCTTTAAATTTGTAGTGTAGTAGCAAGTTTTCAATGTGTTGTTGAATCAAAAATCCACTGCCGGGTTTGCTTGTTCCTTCTTAGAATGGTGAGAGTGCTTTACATGCTGCAGCTCTGTTTGGACATCTCAAAGTCGTCAAGCAATTGATGCACGCTGGAGCAGATGTCAATCTCAAGAACAAGGTATGGTATTAAGATGATCACAACTGCTCCATCCCAACCAGTGTTTTAATAGAGTCCATTACACCTCCCTGCAAGTCCCTACAAATCCATCACAAGTCCATCACAAGTCCATCACAAGTCCATCACAAGTTCATCACAAGTCCATCAAAAGTCCATCACAAGTCCATCACAAGTCCATCACAAGTCCATCAAAACTCCATCAAAACTCCATCACAAGTCCATCACAAGTCCATCACAAGTCCATCACAAGTCCACCACAAGTCCATCACAAGTCCATCACAAGTCCATCACAAGTCCATCACAAGTCCACCACAAGTCCTTCACAAGTCCATCACAAGTCCATCACAAGTCCATCACAAGTCCATCACAAGTCCATCACAAGTCCTTCACAAGTCCACCACAAGTCCTTCACAAGTCCATCACAAGTCCACCACAAGTCCACCACAAGTCCATCACAAGTCCATCACAAGTCCATCACAAGTCCTTCACAAGTCCATCACAAGTCCACCACAAGTCCATCACAGGTCCATATCACAAGTCCATCACAAGTCCATCACAAGTCCATCACAGGTCCATCACAAGTCCATCACAACACCTTCAGTCTCAAGTCAAGTCACTAGCTATTCAAGTGAACTGTTACAAAAATATTCCTTTGTCATTGTTCGTCCAGTTATTTGTGACTTATGAAAGGACATGTAATGGACTCGACTACAACACTGATCCCAATTAAACAAAAAACAATGATGGCAATGACATTTTTGTAAAGTGCTTTCCATGTATCTTTGTTATTTATCTTTGTCATTTATTTTCATGTTTTGTTTATCTACTATTAATTAAGTACATTATCTGTGTTCATTATGGAAGTTATGAAATAAAAAAACTGAACTGAAAAAAAAAAATCTGTTAATGATCTCACATCAGAAGTTACAAGGATCAATCCTGGGAAGTGCATCCTTTATGGCAGTGATATAATTGTACTTCATCTCTTATTTGCCCCACCCAACCCCTAACCTAGGAGGGCGCCACAGCTTCAGATCTTGCCAGAGATGCAGGGTATGACATCATCTCAGACTTCATTCACATGTCCAAGCAGTCACCCCACACCACTGTATGATTGTGTGCAGTATCAACATACATCAAGACACCCACGTGTGAGTTCCCATCGTCACAAGTGGCCCTTTTCAATCAGAGGATATTACCACACAAATTGTCCTTACTGATGACAAAAAGCGGTAGAAAAGAAATCTCAAATGGTTCCTTTTCTTTTTAACTACGCAAGGCTCTTTATCTTAGCTCAGCAAAATAACCACATGTTTGTAAGCCAAAAAGAACATTAGGAGCAATATTCATTACATATAAACCCTGTGGATGACAAGAAGACATACACATGTAGCATATGAAGTCATATTGTGAAAATATTGAACCAACGACCAATAGCATGATCCCTTTGTAGTAGTGTAACCGCGGCATTAAAGTACAGTGTTTATGCTGTGATGCAGAAGCCCAAGTAATTCTAATATCATGTCATTGTCATAAAAATTGGAGTCTTGCCATACATCCAAATGAAATGAGCATTTTGACATAAAAGATGCAAGCATTAAGTTTGAGATAGTTTCCATGAAATTTTAGTTTGGTGTTTTTTATTTGTATTTTTATATTGAGGTCTTCCTAATCAAATGTAAAAATACTTTCCTACTCTTGGTATCGCAGGAGTATTTAAATTTGATCATTCAGCAATATTTTGATAAATAACTGCCTGCATTTGAACAGTAATTTTGTTTTATTTTTTGTGTGAAATATTGACTTTGTTGTTTATGTTGAGTAGAATTTCTGTTTTTTGTATTGCCGTAACTGTTGTTTTTTTTTAACCAGAAGCAGATGTAGTGCATTAGATTAAATCTGTAGTTATTTGACAAAACAATTCAAATATGCATCTAGGCATTGCGCATGCCTACATGAGGAAAGTGAATGTTCAACCAAAAATAAAACAGTAAGAGGCACTGGATTTTTAGGAGTCCAAAGTTCATGTGACACTGGGAAAGGGTTTAAGACCAGCTAGCCATGTCTTTATCATCCATTTAAGACCGGCCATGTGACAGGCTCTCGACCAATAGGAATGGGTTAACTGTCTTGGGTATTTATGAATTCTTGTTTTAACTGGGTCATTCAGTGGAATCCACTGGTCTCCCATGGGGACCAGTAAAGAGAAGACAATGAGAAGAAATTACAGTTAAGAGGTGGGGGAAAGCCCAGAAGAATATTCTGAGGAAAACCCACGCAATCAGGCATGGACTGAAAACCCAATTCACATATTGTCCCAGGCAGGAATTGAACCCAGGTCACAGCGGTAGAAGGCCAGGAAAGTACCGCTACGTCAACCTGACTCCCAAAATCAATTTGTCAAGCACAAGTCGGGCACACAAATGTGTAAGTTTGTCTTCACCATAACAGCACTTTCCTTGTATAAGTGGAAATGTTTCTATAATATATTTAGCAGCTTTGCAGTTTAGTACTTTACTTACCAAAAGATAATAGTTTACATCAAGTTCATTATAATATTTGAACAGATACTTTATTGGAGAGTTAAAATTTGTGCATGTAAGAAAAAGAGCACAGGTGTTGTATAAAAAGAAATATATTTTGACAGTCAGGGGTTAGGCTGAATGATTTTGAAATATAAAATATCAACATGTTTGTGTTGATTCATTCAGTTATAACTAATATACAAGGTACACAAATATTTCAAATTTTGGCGTATTCCTGTTGCTGGCTTGCAGTGTTTTCGTATTCATGGCTGTACTGTTCTCAGATTTTCTCAGACTGTTGAAAATTTTCTGCACGTATTCTTCAACATGTTCTCAACCACAATGTAATCGTCTTAATCTGTAACACTTGTTCTTATCTCATTTGTATTCATACCAGAACTATACTTCTGAACAAATACATGTTTTTTTTGACAACACCACTGTTATGTTGTGACTTGTTTGAATCACATGATTTATAAATGTTTTGAAATAATGTAGTCAAATACTGGTACATGTAATTATACCAGAGCGTTATCTAAATGCCTATCTGGCAATTTTCTTTGGATTTGAAACATCTATAATTTTATTTATGCCAATACACTGTCAAATATTCATCTCAATGCATAAATGGATCAAATGAAGGGTCTTTTTTACATTATTATTAGTCATTTCTTAATTGTGAGCAAAAGCATCAAGTTATACTGATGGTTGTCCTAAGTGTGACCGATGTTGTTGCCATCTTGGTCTTGAACCCTGCCTTGTATGCACATTATCATAGAATTGCCTTACAGATTTAATAGGTAGCCAGACCATCTGCATAGACTTGTAATGTTAGTTACTCATACCATGACCTTGCCTAGTCAGTTTTGCCACAGATAGTGCATCTTTCATTTAAAGGTTTCTTTCATATGAACTGTGTAAAGCTTTTATTATTTGCCAAAGTTTGGACAGTGTTACAGGTTATTTGCTACCTCGTGTTTGTTTTATTTAGTTTTTTTTGACAAATATTTAGATTGTTGTGTTTTATGTGGCTTTATCAGATGTATTCAGCATGGGCAGTACAGTACTTTGTTTTCAGTAAGAGTTGAATAAATTGTTTGCATTGAAATTTATAGGTCTCCACGTCGCTGCAGTTTTATTTTAAACGGACTGCAATCTTGTCGATGCAAAACAATATTTTACCTTTTTTATTAAAGGTTCTCGAGTCAATGAAACAGGAAAGCTCAATGACATACAGTGCAATATTTTTTTCAGTTACAGAAATTGTTTAATAACTGTAAATACACAATTTTAAGGTATGAAATTTAAAATTAAAAATCTAATATTTCTGTTTTTAAATTTTACAATTTATACATTTTTCATAATTTTTCATTAGAGAACATCTATCCCAGGAATTTAAAGTTACTTTAGCCCCCTTTGCAATAACTGCAAAACCAGAGATGTACCCAACATAACAGCCGAGATAGTTTTTTTTAACGAAAGGTATATATATAAATATCTGTAAGAATTTAAAGAGTATTCATCAGGGCACCACATTACATTTGGATGCAATAGTTTCTTCAATCTAGCCCCAAAGATTTTCCAGTGGATGCAGTGAAAAATTATTTGAATATGGTGGGTTTACTGCAAAAATGCATAAATTGAGGTTCTTTTTAGAGATAATGAATGAGAGACGTAAGTACAGAACTTGTTCAAGTTTATATTCCTTCTGCAACTGTGAAGGACATGTTTACTTTATCGGTTGATGAGCCATCTGACAGGCCACATGTGATGACATCACCACCTTGCACTGGCCCGACACCAGAGGGCGTCCCAGTCAACACCAAGTCACCCTCTTGCAGCGACATGTAGCGACTGATGTAGCTGAGGAGCGCGGGGATCTTGAAAATCATGTCACTTGTGTTCCCATCCTGCCTCATCTCATCGTTGACTTTAAGCCAGAGCCGGAAGTTGTGCGGGTCTGGTACCTCATCTCGCCCCAGGAACCCGCTGACTGGGCAGGAGGTATCGAACATCTTGGCCAGCGTCCAGGGAGCACCCTTCTTTTTGGCCGCATCTTGGAGGTCTCGGGCCGTCATGTCTAGCGCCAGGGTGTAGCCGCCCACGTGGTCCATAGCTGAGGATTCTGGGATGTCTCTCCCAGGGCGGGATATGACCACGCCCAGTTCCACTTCATGATGCAAATTGTTGCATCCAGGAGGAGCCTGCAAGACAGAAAACATTGGAAGATGCCTCCAGTCAAAGTATCTCTGATTTTTGATGGCACTGTTTAAGTATGACCACTGCCCATTGGAAGCAGCCAAAAATAATCAACTTGCTTTTAAAATGAAAGAAAATTGTTTAAAGACATCTATATACAAAAAAAAATGAGTATGGGAGGAGGGGGAAGGGGAGGGGGGATTGTGGGTGTATAGGGGAGGGTGGAGCATTACAACCAAACTAGAATGCATTCTTTTTGTGGTAGTCTTACTCTTATTGGAGTACCCTCTGTAATGAACGCAGTCGTTGGTTTCAGGAAAATGATGGGTTCTGCCGGTATGGTATTCCCCAGCTCAGCTGCATGGGCACTGAGAGTGAAAATGATTGGTTTGTTAATTAAAATTGTATGATAAGAATGAAAATTTGGCTATAATTAGAAATAGTACTAGTAGGCCTACAATATGAAAAATTACGCAAAGTATATGGGCTAGGCTGGGGCTTTTTAAAAAGTAAGGCTTAGGCCAAGTAAAAAACAAAAACATGTTTAATAGCGTCCTTCCTTTTTGAAAAAGGAGGCCCTTCCAACCCCCCTCCAAAATGGCCGACCATGCTATTTATCAAGATGGCCAGATGGCCGCCACTTTTTTTTTTTTAAATGGCCGCCACTTGGACTCAGGAAATGACACACCAACTTTATATGGGCCTAGATGCAACAGACAAAGAGGCCAAAATGATTGATCTTTTTTTAAAATTGTGTTCCCCCCAAAAAAGAAAGGAGGCCTGCACTGCAGCCTCCAAAAAGGAAGCGGGCGGGGACGCTAAACATATATATATTTTTTTCTTGGCCTAATCTAATTTTTTTCACATACCAGGAACCAGGAAAGCCAGTGCCCCCTCGGGCTATACTCTCGCAAACAGCGACTGAAACTGACAGCTTTTTGCACTGCAAAAGTACATGCACAGTCTTCACTGCATGTTTTGGTTATAGCGCCCTCTACGTGTATTTCAACCCAACACATTCTACTAGTCTAATCTAACGTTTATTTCACACCAACATTTTCATCGACCTAACTGCCAGATCCGTCCACCTTTTTATAAACCAAGGCTAGGCCAACTTAGCTTTCTTTTCTTTACGCTTGGAAGGTTACTTACGCATAATTACGGCCAACGCAGATAATCTTTCGTCCAGTCTCGACAAATCGCGACAGACTGGGGGCAGCCATTTTGAAATGAATTAGACTCAAATCCAGCCGCTAGTTCTAGTTATTCTAAAGGAAAACATCATGCGCATGCATACTTTTGTGCGCCCTCAGTCGAGTCACTGTGAAAAATTAATAAGAAACAGCATGGGAAAGAAAGTTCACTCTGATTTTTCTCCCTTTTTTATCTATTATTTGCTGTCATATTTATACAGGGTTGCCTGATCTGCTTTCCATAAGGGCCCTGGGTCCTTTACATAAATATAATTAAAACAGTAAGATAATTTGAATAAAAACAAAACAATAAAAACATCATAATCAAATTAAATCAGACATATAAAAAAAATAACGACTACAACCCAACAGATCAGAATAAAACAAATCCTCCCCACTGGGCAATTTGTTACCGATTACCGAGATTACCGGATATTTCCGGTAATATCACCCCAAAATTTGACTAAGACCAAATATTACCAATATTACCATGTTATTACCCAAATGATATTACCTGTGTTATAATGAAAGTGTTATAAATTCCTTAATATTTGGTATTTTGAGGATAAGGATAAGATATAAATGATCCTCGAGGCCAACGGTCTGTTTCTGTTGAGGAAAATAATTGGAAAATGGTGCACCATCGTACCACAAATTCCAAGTCCAAAATATTACTGTTATCACCCTGTTGAAACCGACATTTTACCGAGTTACAACCGGGTGATGAGAAGTAATATGGGTAATGTTGAATGACTTGTATTGGTTATAACATTGCGAACTTGAGTAATAACAGTAAACTTATTGCAATCCCCGTGAAATGTTCAAGTCCAAAATATTACTGTTATCACCCTGTTGAAACCGACATTTTACCCAGTTACAACAGGGTGATGAGAAGTAATATCGGTAATGTTGAATGGCTCGAATTGGTTATAACATTGTGAACTTGAGTAATAACAGTAAACTTATAGCAATTCCAGCGAAATTTCTAAGTCCAAAATATTACTGTTATCACCCTGTTGAAACCGACATTTTACCCAGCTACAACAGGGTGATGAGAAGTAATATCGGTAATGTTGAATGGCTCGAATTGGTTATAACATTGCGAACTTGAGTAATAACAGTAAACTTATAGCAATCCCAGCGAAATTTCTAAGTCCAAAATATTACTGTTATCACCCTGTTGAAACCGACATTTTACCAAGTTACAACAGGGTGATGAGAAGTAATATGGGTAATGTTTAATGGCTGAATTGGTTATAACATTGCGAACTTGAGTAATAACAGTAAACTTATAGCAATCCCCGTGACATTTTTAAGTCCAAAATATTACTGTTATCACCCCGTTGAAACCGACCTTTTACCCAGCTACAACAGGGTGATGAGAAGTAATATGGGTAATGTTGAATGGCTTGAATTGGTTATAACATTGCAAACTTAAGTAATAACAGTAAACTTCTAGCAATCCTCGCGAAATGTTGAAGTCCAAAATATTACTGATATCACCCTGTTGAAACCGACATTTTACCCAGCTACAACAGGGTGATGAGAAGTAATATGGGTAATGTTGAATGGCTTGAATTGGTTATAACATTGCGAATTTGAGTAATAACAGTAAACTTCTAGCAATCCTCGCGAAATGTTGAAGTCCAAAATATTACTGATATCACCCTGTTGAAACCGACATTTTACCCAGTTACAACGGGGTGATGAGAAGTAATATGGGTAATGTTGAATGGCTTGAATTGGTTATAACATTGCGAACTTGAGTAATAACAGTAAACTTCTAGCAATCCCCGCGAAATGTTCAAGTACAAAATACTACTGTTATCACCCTGTTGAAACCGATATATTACCGAGTTACAACAGGGTGATGAGAAGTAATATGGGTAATGTTAAATTGCTACACCCCCACATCCTTCTAACATGGCCTCATCTCTAGTCCAAACGTTTCTTATTAATTGCTATCTATATTTTTTATTCCATTTTTTGTATTTTAGCATTACTTGGTTAATTCTTGTTCATTTAGTTATTTACTTTTTATTCTTTCTCTGTTTTTAAAATGTTGTTCAATTGTATCACTATCGTTGTTTCATTTTAATTATATTGTTTTAGTACAGTTGGTGGATGGGGCTTACGTCTATTAGTTGGTTTATTCTTTTATTGGTTTATTCCCATTGTGTGTAATTGTAAATATTCTTATTTAACTTATGTATTGTTTTTTTACTTTTGATGATTTTTTTTTCTTCTAACCTTAGGTTAGAATTTATCTGTTCTTATCATTTTTTTTAGGTTTAATTCAATTCTGACTTAATATTTTTTTGTTTCTGGTCTTGTTTTAATCCAATATTGTAAACTATTTTAATAATTTTAGGTAATGCAGGGCCCTTGATAAGACCACCCTGGATAAATAAGACAGCCATCAAATTGTACTAATTGTTTAATTTGTTGGCCGAATAAATAATAATAATAATAAAAATAATAATGACAGCGAAGCGTGTTTGTGTTGCGTTACGTCACAGATCGCACAAAATCTATCCAATGAGAACTCGAATCCGTCAGCCCCAGCGCCTGTTATGTTGCAGGCCAGGCGGCGGGGGTGGGTGGGTACCACTGATCTTTATATATAGAGATCAGTGGTGGGTACCAGTGAAATGACGGAAAGCGCGGGCCTTTAATATGTAAGTCCGCGTGACCGGCGCCTGCCACGTACGTACCACAATTTCTGCAAGGCGGTGAGTTCGTGCAGTTTTAAAATTGAAGTTGCAAGGCTCGGATTGATCGTTTTTAACCCCCAACTCCAATTATAAGGTAAGAATATTATGATTTTCCGTATTTGCTAGGAATTGAGGATGAGTTAGGCAATTTTTGGATGCTCGGCATGTCATTTTTAACACGTTAAAAAATAAAGGCATATTTGTGACTCAGCCAGTGGCAGTGCCCCACATGTTCACGGCATGCACCATGCTTCCTATTGATGGCGCTTACAAATTACAAATCAGTCTCAAATAAATCCGTCAACATCCTTGACATAAATGATTACTTTGGGTTGTTTTGTCTTCATACTACAAATATGGTATATGAACTACCTCCCTGCACAGAGATTTCTCATGTAAAACTGCATTTCAATGCCGTATTTTATGGTGACATTTACGAAAATTGAATGTTGGACACCGTCAAGAACCGTCAAGCACCGTCAAGACAATCGCCAAGCACCGTCAAGACCATCGTCTTTCCGACCGACATTTACCAACTATTGAAACCAAAAGCTAATTATAGCTGAAATATGGTCGGTATAATTATCTGTTAAGCAAAGAAAGGGTTTTTTAACGTGGCAAACAAAGAATCTTTCAACATTTCCAAAGAGCCGTGAGATTAGACGCCATCTTGTTTTCCTGAGGCTTTGGAAGGAATGTCCTATTATTTATCCATGGGTAGGCCCATATTTTCCGGTCAGGTTTGATTAAATAATAATATAATTTTGAAAAGAAATTAAAGTTAATTAGTTTAATTGCGTGGGCCTAGAAGAAATGTTTAGAAAAAAATATTTTAAATGCTTTTCTTTCAATAAATAAATAGGCCCCCCTAGGCTTAAATAAATTAACTTTTGACAGCAGAGGGCGCTCTGTATCATTATTGCAAATGTTGTAATATCTGTCATAAAACTGACATATTTGTAAATATTTGAGCTACATTGAGCTTTTGGTGTCAATAATTGGGGTAAATTTTAAACGTAATGAAATGGTCTTGACAGCAATGGACCGATCAGAATTTGGTCATAAGCCCCGCCCACCTTAGCAACGGCATGGCAACGCCATAAGCTCGGTCAAAGTCAACAAACTGTGTGTGTGTACCGTACGTGCCACGTACATGTAAACCTACGCTATATATAAACATTAACAATGGCGGAAAACGGGGGAAACTTTAGAGTACAATTTCCTCAAGAGTGCGTTTGTGCACGAAGTTTTGTTTGGAGTTTTGAAGGATGGCCAGACAGGGGAAATACTTGGTCGACAAACATGACAGAAGAATGCATGAAATGAAGGTCGGAAGCGGCGTGTCATCGACAAAACACAGCCTAGGCCTAGCCTAGTCCTACAAACATGGCGGTATGTGGCTCTCTTTTAAAATCTGTCTTGTTACTGTCGCCATTACCGCCATGCTCCGGCGCGAGCCGTTAACACCAAGTATCGACTGCCGAAATCCGAGAAAGTTTGACTCCAAATATCTTCCGAAATACATAAGACAGAACCCTTTCACATATACCATCGTGCTCGAGAGATTCTAGTGTTTTATAAATAATGGTCAAACTTATCGAAGTCGTAAATTTGTCCATGTTTGGCGCTTGACAAACTGGGCAAAAATCCGACAACGTTATTGCATGTATGGTTGGGCGCCGCCATCTTAGTTTCATCTGCTCGTGAGAAGCCGAGGTGCCTAATTATTCATGCATAATTCATAATGACGTCGCACATGTTGATTCGTGCACTGAGACTGCCGAGTCACGTGCTGCACGCGTACATGGCATTTACCGTATACGCGTGACGTCATTATGAATTATGCATGAATAATCGGGCACCTCGGCTTTTCACGAGCAGATGAAACTAAGATGGCGGCGCCCAACCATACATGCCATAACGTTGTCAGAATTTTGCCTAGTTTGCCTAGTTTGTCAAGCGCCATACATGGACAAATGTACAATTTCGGTAAGTTTGACCGTTATTTATAAAACACTAGAATCTCTTGAGCACGATGGTATATGTGAAAGGGTTCTGTCTTCTGTATTTCGGAAGATTTTTGGAGTCGAACTTTCTCGGATTTCGGCAGTCGACACTTGGTGTTAACGGCTTGCGCCGGAGCATGGCGGTAATGGCGACAGTAACAAGACAGATTTTAAGAGAGCCATACCGCCATGTTTGTAGGGCTAGGCCTAGCCTATCGTAAATTTTTAGCAGGTAAGCCTGAGTTTTTGGAATTACTTTCTTCGTATGTGTCTAAAACAAACTGCATGTGAAAGCATAGAAGAGCCTTCGGATTAGTTGCCACAGTGCCGGATAAAAACTCCGTCACTCAGCCTAACGTTGGTGGTTGGGCCTGTTCGGAAAGGTGATCATACTGATATGATACTGAGAGCCTTGACCTAAATATTTTGACAAATCAATGACAATAAATATCCTTTTCCAAGACTTCGATCTGAGTGAAAAAATCTATGCTAGTGACATGTTAAAACGTAACTGTGTACGAGTACGAGAACATTGTTCAAGCCTCAAGGTAACGTCCGGCCTTTTTTTTTTTAGAAGACGGAAAATAATTTAATTCGGTATATCTTTGTAAACCTACAACAGTGTCTGATTTGCATGTTCCACAGCAGCATATTTTGTCCATTTTTTTAAAGTATCGTATACAGATGGGACTCACAAAACCGCATTTTATGTCTAAAATATCGTGCGCAGCTCCATAGATCCCATGTGTTTGTATGTACTTTTCACAGCGCATGTGACCGAGTTTGACCGACCTAATGGCGGACACGCCTATGGCAACTGTTGTTAAGTCCCCTGACCAAAAGTCGTAATCTGATTGGTCAATGCGCGCTGTATGATTGACAGGCCGGAAGGGTCCATTGATGGTCATGACAGTGCTTGACGATGGTCTTGATGGTTCTTGACGGTGATTAGTATGACCCCATTGGGCCACATACTTCATAAGGGACTGACATCATCCCATTTACATGATGTAGGAAAAAATGTTGAACCTTCAGCGTGTGTTCAGGGCATTTTTTTGTTTTACAAATTTCACCAAATGGGGATCAAATGAATCTGCCTAACTGAATTGCGGGAGGAAAATTAGTTTCCTTAAGACTTGAACAGCCTGAATCCTGATGTCACTCTTTTTCGGATTTTAATCGGAAAACCAACTTTGAGACTTTTCCAACAAAATTTGTGATTATTTTTTAAGAAAAATATAAAAATAAAAATTTGGACGTTGTACTTGTAGACCTACATTTTTTTTCAAAGATTTCTAGACATGTACATGTCAGGATGTGTACAATTAGATTTCCAGATACATGTACATTTCATATTTTTAAAGAATATTGTAAATTAATTACTTCAAAGTGTAAAACTCCTGCAGTATAATATCGCTGACGTAAATGTACAGGTATAGGAAAGCATATTGTGACCATTGGCATGACCGGTTGCTGCCTATGATATTTAGCCTATATTGCTATGTGTATGTAGTGTACCGGTACATGTAACAATTTCTCATGAGTTTTAGATTGGGTTAATAAATTGTCCTCCATTTCCCCCACATTTTCAAGTTCCCTTGGTGGAGGTGTGCTGTGCCTGTGGTTTTCTTGTGTGCAATATGTCTGGTCTTGGTAAGTAATGATCACCCTTGTATTTCTTGACCAGCAAGGAACTATTTTGGCAGGGCCAACTCTTCATAATTATTTTTTTTTTCAATTACTTTAATTATGAAATCACTGCCAAAACAATGTGGATTTTAGAGAAAAAAAAATTAAAAACTTGTCGTTGACATTTTTTGATTTTGACAACCCCCCAAAAAACAGGGAAAAAAGTTGCATTTTGTAATTAGGACGCTTAATTAATTACTTGGTGCGGACCGATTCCCCTTCTTCTTTTTTGTGTGCGATGTCTCATTCGAAAGCTGATAACAAATACAATATGCTAGAAAATTATCAATTCATTTGAAAAATTATTTTTCAGGGTGACACACCAACTTAAGCATATAGACCAATTCGAAAAGAAGCCGTAATGGATGAGGACGAATATATCCGGAAGGAAAAGCGGCGTGAACAGAAAGCAAAATGGGCCAAGAAGAAAAGAGATGCACTGAGAATTGTTTCTGTCCTAGAAGACGTGAGGAGAAGGCCACTCTGTGCTGATGCCCCTGGAAACAGTGCTCCCGGCCCCTCAATACCTGTCAATGATGTATCCAGTCCAGTAAACCTTGATTCATGTGATGGCACTTCTGATGAAGAGGGCAGTACTGATCATGCCGTACATGTGGAGGTCGATGAAGAAACTGTGACCGAGGATGAATTATTTGAGAGACATTTGCAGGAAATCTTTGGAGACTCTTCCCCTGGTCCAACAAACAGAGTTTATAACGCTTCTGAAACAGGAAGTCCTGATGGTAATGCATATAACTACAGCAGCCCTTCTGATGAAGATGGTGATAATGAAGAGGGTGATGATGTCACTGCAAACCCTAACGGCAATATTCGCAGTTCCGCGAGCCCTAGTTACGACACTCCCAGTCCCGCGAGCCCTGGTTACGACACTCCCAGTCCCGCGAGCCCTGGTTACGACACTCCCGATCCTGCGAGCCCTGGTTACGACACTCCCGGTCCCGCGAGCCCTGGTTACGACACTCCCGATCCTGCGAGCCCTGGTTACGACACTCCCGGTCCCGCGAGCCCTGGTTACGACACTCCCGGTCCCGCGAGCCCTGGTTACGACACTCCCGGTCCCGCGAGCCCTGGTTACGACACTCCCGGTCCCGCGAGCCCTGGTTACGACACTCCCGGTCCCGCGAGCCCTGGTTACGACACTCCCGGTCCCGCGAGCCCTGGTTACAATACACACGACAGCAGTTCTGATGAAGAGGCTGATGACAATCGTGTTGTGTATGTCAAGGAGGTTGATGTTGAAGAAGCAGCGAATGAGGCCGAGTTCTTCAAGAGGTCATTGCGTGAATTGTTTGGGAGAACATCACTTTCACGGACTGAGCAGCAGTACCTACTTGGGCTTTTCAACCGTGCTGGTGTCCAGGGTTTGCCAAAGGATCCGCGCACTCTACTTTGCACACCAGGCTCTGTTAACATAAATCCATCCTACTTTGGTGTAGAGTACCACTGGTTTGGCATTGATGACCAGTTAACACGTGCTCTTGACTATTTGGTTCGCCCACTTCGTCTTGATGAAGAGATCAAACTTATGATTGGTGTCGATGGTGTACTGATTTTTGATTCGTCAGACGTTAACTCGTGGCCAGTACTGGTGTCTGTAGAGAATGACCAGTCACTGAACAAAATCTTTCCATTATGTGCAACAATGGGTGGCAAGCCAAGCTGTGTGTCCTATGTGAACCAGTGCGTCGATGAGTTGTCTAGTCTACTCCGCGATGGCTTCGTTTACAGGGGCAACCACCACCAAGTGTGTCTAATGTGCATAGTATGCGATGCACCAGCCCGGGCCTTCATGAAAAGCATCATGGGACACATGGCTGGTCATTCTTGTGAGCGCTGCCGAGACAAAGCAATCAAGGTGGATGGTAGGATGGTGTTCTACAGGACTGAGGATTTTGACCTGCAAAGTGACGACACATTCCGCAGGAAAGACTACACTGAACATCATAATTCTCGCTGCATCGACAGCCCATGGCTGAACATTCCAGGCTTTGACATGATACATGGGTTTGCATTGGATTACATGCACATGGTCTGTCTTGGTGTGGTTAAGCGGCTAACAGATTTCTGGATGAACAGGCAATTTAATCGGACAGCCTTTCATCTAGACCAGGTTGCAGTGGCTGACATTAACAGGAAATTAATGAGGATGAAGGTGACAATGCCATTCAACTTTGCCCGCAAACCAAGGTCATTGGAAAAGATCAGTAGATATAAGGCTACTGAATACAGGACACTTCTGCTATACACTGGCCCGGTTGCCTTCAAAGGTGTCCTGAGGCCTGCTTACTACAATCATTTTCTTCTCTTGTCAGTGGCCATCGGTCTTTTAGTGAGTGAGAGGACAGCTCATCTGCAGATAGATTATGCGAGGGAGTTGTTAACTCTGTTTGTAAAGAAAGCTTTTAGGCTCTACGGCGATATTTTTGTTGTATACAATGTACACCATCTCCTACATTTGGCAGACGTCACTGAGAAGCATGGTTGTTTGGAAAACTGTTCAGCTTTTAAGTTTGAAAACTTTCTCGGCCAGCTGAAAAAGAAGGTTAGGCCTGGTCACAAGCCTCTCGTGCAGCTGGCTAAGCGGCTCAGGGAAAACCCCATCAGATCAAATACCTGGAAACAGGAAAAACTTTGCGTTACAGCCCCGAACAATGTATATCTGACTGCTACTGGGGAAATTATTGAACTCGAGAAGGCTGATGATGGCACCTACGTCTACCGTCGATACACACGGTTACGGCCTGCTGTCGCTGCCCCAGTGGACACCACCTTGGTGGGATTCCTTGAGTGCCCCAATGGGAACTTGTGCCTCTCATTCCCAACAGACATGGGTGACACCAAGATAGTTGCTAAAGTATGGAAGCACACAGTTCCTGGGGTCAACCGAGTGTTGTTTATGGTTCTTAATCACTGCTCTGCTTTCGCACAGAACACTTAGCTGGATATCGACTAGATTGACTCTTGACCCCAACTGCCTTCAATTCTTCAAAATATTCTCTTTGGTTTTGAGGCTGAATGCATAAACGTGGAGGATCAAATGATATACAGGTTTGTTAAAGAATGTTCTGCTCTTTTATTCACTTAACTCCCACATTTTTGAAGTGTGCGCTTAAACAAGGGACGGCTAAAAAGTTTGTTGGCTAACGCTAATTTAACGGTGCGTTTGCACATTTTTGATGGATTATACACATGTACATATGTTGTACAATTAAGGCACAATATGTATCTGTCATTTTAAATTAATTGCAAGTGTGAAATTGGATGTTCCTTTCCAAAAGTCTTGAGTGGGGCCGTTTTTAGTAAATGTTTATTGTTTTTTGGTTAATGTCCTTTTTGGCAGGCTGTAATCCCGACAAGAGCTGGACGCTTGTCAAGTACCTGCGAGATGCAACATATGACCTCATCCCGTTCCGCTGGGTCCGAAAGAGGCATGGTGAAGACTGCCAACGTGCCTGGTTCCCAGTAAAAGGGACAGTCAAGGCGCCAGAGTACACTCGTCTCAAGGAAACCTGTGCGAAGCCTCCCAGTGCAAATATTGCTGAATGGCTCAAGGTTACTGTTGTAGTACGCCAAGGTACGTTTTTTTATATCATTGTTACAACATTTTTCTAAAATTTGGAATGCCTGTGTGCCAATTTCTTTCATGTTACTTTTAATTATAATTTGTTGCTTTATAGCAATAACTGACTATGAAGTCGGCCAGTCCCTCCTCAGAGAACGCCTTGATGCCTCATCTTCATCAGATGCTCCTCAAAAGGATGCACAGCGACCATGTCGTGTACGCGCTAGGCCAATGCGGTTAGCTGAAGAGAACAACGGGGACAGCGACCATAATTGGAGCTCTGATTCTGACGAGTACTCGTCTAATTCTGAAGAGCTTGACACCAGCCAGTCAAAGAGTAAGCCCTAGACAATTTGAGAATTTTACTGTTGGAATCGGTCATATCAGGAGAATTTTTGGTGGCACTAAGGCATTAAAAGTGGCAATGATATTCACGCGCACAACTGTCTGTTGTAATAAATATCAGTGTTTGAATTTCCGCGATTGTTGGAGAGGAGATCAAACTTATTTTTATTTTTCAAAAACTCCTTTAGGCATTCCAACTCAAAAATTGAGAACCAGAAAGTAAAGCTGTAATATTTACAAATATACATGTAGTTATAATATCGGAGAAATAATCACCACAGGAATGTCATGTTTGAAACTCTTTTACACAGATTGCTCCCGCATTTATATCTTGTGCGCGTACCTATAGCATGAGCAAGACCACTATCCGATGACCCTATGGTGCACTAATATAAAACGGCAACCTCTATTGGTGAAGTTTGGTTCTTGTTTTGCCGAGCAGACTTGCATGTCTTGTTGCTGTGTGTTGTCGCGCCGTAGATTGTGGTTGGAATATATTAGCAATGTTTCCATTTAATTTTATCATAATACGTGTGTACATTCTGACGTGTCAAATCAAATATCAAAAGGTTGGTTCTTTATACTAACAATTTATTGCATTCACAACAAATTCTCATTTGAAAATAGGGAATATTCAAATATTCCATTGTCAATTAAACATTTGGAACTTGACACAGGCTTATCAAAGAGAGTGCCAAAAAAGCAGATGGGCAAGACAGGAGAAGTGCCGCAAAAGAAGAGGAGAGTCGGGAAGGAGCCTGTTTACAAGCCACCACCCAAGGATGCCAGCAACGCCAGCCTGGCAATACTAGACGCCGAGGAAGCCATCCCCAGACCTAGGTGTTTGGCTGGAGCACCTACAGGTAAGCAGGTCTTTCAGTTTAGTTACGCATAAAGTTATTTCATGGTCAGTTGTAATTTAAGTATAATTCTGGGTTCCCACAGTCATGGAAAATCCTTGAAAAAAAGTTATCCTTGAAAGTCATGGAAAAATTGGGGGAAAACGAAAGTCATGGAAAATTGAAAATTTGAGTAATATGGAAAAGTCATGAAAATCAAGATCATGTATGATACGGTTCTTTTTGATAACCGCTTTTGATGTGATAACAGAATATTGACAGATTTACAGGGCTATATATATTCTTGTCAGTTAGTTGTGGCTATAGAGGAGCCCATTTAATTTAAACTTATATTTAAATGCTGACAAATTGTATGCAATTGGCGTTAAATGTCATGGAAATTCATATTGTAGTCATGAAAGTCCTGGAATTTGGTTTTCAGATTTCTGTGGGCACCCTGTAATTACTCCATGTATCTTATTTTTTTTTTGTCTACAGTGAAGCTGTCAAGTGCCCTTTCAAGACCAAGGCAAACAACGTCGAACGTGGGTAGGTTACAAACACAAACAAATTGCATCAGAAACATAATATCGCTTAAGAACTAAGCATTGACAATTTTGTTAAATTTATTTATGATTTATCAAAATGACCTATTTTTACAGCTCTTATGGACTTGGATGATGATTTACAAGAAGAAGACTCTGAAGTCTCGGATGCTACCCCACTAGAGAGTGTGGCAGGTGGGTATTATATACAGCAGTGAATATTAACTACCCAAGGAATTAATACATGGCAAGAGGTTTGCATGACTGATTCCTGCAAGGCTGCCTCACCTGCGTCTAAATAAGTTAGCGTTGTGCATCAGGGGCAAGTACTACCCGCTGGAAAAAGTCTATGTGCGCACTTGATCACGGGCTGATTTTTAAAAAAATGTTTTTTTGAGCTCGTGGCATGACCAGCGAAACATGCTTCTATTTTCTGTTTTACAATACATTTAGTGTGAGAAAAAATATTTGAATGTTTGAAAACAATGGCGGTATTACTTTATTTCATGCTTTGTGGACTATCAACCGTTGTGTGGTTGGAGATCAATGACTGTATGCACAAGTCAGATTATTACTCAAGTCTGACAAAATCAGTCGGTGCTGTCGGATCCGACTTATCCGCAGTTGACTATGCTTTGCAATTTTATCATCAGGGAACAGCATGGATGCTAATGATGCAACTAACTGTGATGGGGGACGTGGCGATAGTCCTATGGACGAAGGTCGTCCTGTACACGACACTCATGAGGTAGGTGAATTGTGCCTAAGTCTCATCAGTCACTCTCCTATTGCCAATTCTACACATAAAGCTGGTAAAATAATATTTCATGTCTGCTGAATGAACCTCGACTGTCCTGTACATGTCGACTTAACTGTACAGCACACAGTTGTAAAAAAAAAAAAAAGGAGCCTTAAGCTGTGTAAAAATTGGTAGCTGCCATTAATTATCACATGGGAATAATCCAGACAAATCTCACTTTTAAGATAAGTCAGTGGGAGTTGATTTAGCCGATTGGTGTATTTCCAATCATAATCTAGTGAAGGCCTAAGCCCAAGCTGTAAGTTCAGAACAGCAAAGTACAGCCGGTGAGGACCTTGGTATAGTCAGAAAATGTTCTTAATATGAGAGGCATGTTATCAATATCTATCAAAATAGGCCAAGACGTAACGGCATTCCGTACGCTTTGTGAATGGGGCTGAAATGCCAACACACCACAATGCTGAGAAAAATTAACAATGCATTGCAATGCTAGGCAACACAATTTTTTTTTCTTTTTCATCTATAATTTCAGGATAAACTGGATTTAGTACTGAAAAAGATGGATGAGTTTATAACTATCGAGAAAGCCATCCTTAACAGGCTGACTTCCCTTGAACGTGAAGTAGCAGCAATGAGAGGGGAGGACACATTACCATCCACCCCGAGAACTGTGGCTGACGAAGAGGAAGAAGGCTCGCAAGAAGAGGAGGAAGGTCTCAAATTCAAAATGCCAGCGGAAACAGAAGAAGAGTTTCTGCTGAATGATAACCAGTTGTCAGACCCTCACACACGCCGTTTAGTGGTAAGCGTAAATGTTAAAGTTGATCTGAACTAAGTTTGGGCGGTTCCACCACTTTTGGACCCGGTTCCATAAATCAGAACCGGTTCCGAGTCAGAACCGGTTCCACAAGATTACACCATGTGCGGTGCGCTAAGTTTCCGATTGCATGCGTAAATTTAAGCCCAATCGTTTCCGTTGCATGCGTGACGTGCATGCTCTGCACACAGCGCTCGCCCAGTGCAGAATAGTAGCGCGCCCTCTTGCGGTTCATTTTGTGTAGGCCATAGTCTAGGGAAAATTATTACCGCGCCAGATACATTGCAAAAGCACACGATGTATTCAGACTTAGACCTACATGCAGGCTACATTTATCGTGTGGTGTTTCACGATCGGTGATATTTTGTTGACTCAAAAAAAGTTGGCGACAGTCACATTTCGCAATGCCTCTTGAGAGCACGAAATGCTGCATTTGCAAAACAGGTGCAAGTACATGAAGTATGTTTGTTCATGCCGTGGGGTACAAAGATGTGCTGAAAAAGTGTGTTGCTTGTAACTTAATGTCTTCTAAAATTTCGGTCTGGCAAATATGTATTTTGGGGTATGGTGGAGATGGCTCTCGGACCCAGTTCTCGGCATCTGGAACCGACAATCACGGGTACCGGGTTCAACAAAAGAGTGGAACCGCGGTTCTGGTTCTCATTTTGGAACCGGGTAGAACCAATTTTCAACTGAAACCGCCCAAGCTTAATCTGAACAAAGAGTGGGCATTAAAGTATTTGGCGATGTTCAGGCATGCAACTTTTCCTCGGATCTGTTGATTTCCTCGTTTTTTTTACTTCTCATTAATGCCATTACAAATTGAAAAATCACTTTACAAAGTCTTTTGGGGTTTGGAGTTTCCTCGTTTATTTCTAAATTCCCAGTTGCATGCCTGGATGTTTTAATGATTGAATATTTCTCAACCTTTCTGTAATCACAGCGAAACAAGCTTCTTAAGGAGTTCGTGCGCGTGCCGTCAGATGGTTTTCTGAGAATGGCGCTCTTCAAACTGATTAAGCACCAGGTCGTAGAGGCGATCACTTGGGGTGGCGGAAACGGTACCACCGGAGTGAAGGAATCCAACCACCACGTGCTCATGGAAGGTAATACATGCACCATTTTGTTGCTCTGCATCTGTGACAGTTCATTGGGATAACGTTGGCAATTACAGTTGACTCTCGTTAATATCTACTGTATGATACAAATGCTGGTTATAGCAAACATAAAGCCTTGGTCCTGATTGTGCTTTATGTGCACAATGAGCGGGACCAGCACTCCTCTTAATACAAAATTCTGATAAAACAACATTTTATCTAGATCCGGCTGACTTTGTGTTAACGAGAGTCGACTGCAGATGTACCAGTAAAAACATGTAAGTTCAAGTGGCTAGATTAACTGTAAACATTCTGGAATCTATTACACATCAACTTATTCCTGGGTTCTTTCCATTTCAAATCAAACACTTTTTTTGCACTCGGTCTCACAGTCCCCTAAAATTTACTGGATATGTTGGGTCATGCATGAGAGAATATCCCAAACCCAAATTTAAATATTTTTGGT